ATCTCCAATATGTCCAATAACCAAATCTCAGTTTGAAAAAAGAAAATAAAGACTACAAGATGGCTCAGCAGGTAAAGGCTTTTGCTGCCAAGCCTGACAACTTACGTTGGATCTCTGAAACCCACGTGGTGGGAGAGAACTGATTCCTCAAGTTGTCCTCTGACCTCCACATACACAGGGTAGCACATACAACACATACCCCTGTGCTCCCACACACAAATAAAAAAATATAATAAAAAATGTTTTTAATCTAGAGGATAAAAATGTAGTTCAGTGGTAGATTGCTTACCTAGAATGTGCAAGGACATGGGTTCAATCCCCAGCTTCATACACAAAGAAAGATCCAAGCCAGGCACGATGGAGCATGCCTATAACCCCAGCACTTAGGAAGCAGGAGGACTGCCACTAGGTAGAGGCCAGCCTGGACCACAGAGTGAAACTCTCTCTCAAAACAAGTGTGTGTGTGTGTGTGTGTGATAAAACACAGTATGCATACCTAGAATCCCAGCACTCAAGCTGAAGCAGGAAGAGCACAAGTTCCAAGATAGCCTGGGCTATACAGAGAGTGTGTGTTCACATTAAATTGCCATAAGCCTTAAAAGAATGATCATAGGGGGCTGGAGAGATGGCTCAGCCGTTAAGAACACTGACTGTTCTTGCAGAAGACCCGGGTTCGAATCCCAGCAACCACATGGCTGCTAACAATTGTCTGTAACTCCAGTTCTAGGGGATCCAACAGCCTCTTCTGTCCTCCGAGGGCACTGCACGACACGGGTGCACTTACCTACATGCAGGCAATACACGCATACCTATAAAAAATAAATTTTTAAAAAAAATTTTATGCGTACGAGTGTATTGCCTGCATGTGAGTGCACCCGTGTCATGTAATGCTATGGAGGTCAGAAGAGGGTTTCTGATTCCCTTGGAACTGGAGTTAAGGACGGTTTGTAGTCATCATGTGGGTGCTAGGGATTGAACCCAGGTCCTCTGCAAGAGCAGTCAGTGCTCTTAACCACTGAGCCATCTCTCCAGCCCCTTTTTAAAAATTTTATTTCTTTTTTTATTTTACGTGTATGCGTGTACTGCCTGCATGCAGGTAAGTGCACCCGTGTCCAGCAATGCCCAAAGAGGTCAGAAGAGGCTGTTGGATCCCCTGGGACTGGAGTTACAGACAGTTGTTAGCTGCCATGTGGGTGCTGGGATTCAAACCCGGGTCTTTTGCAAGAATAACCAGTGTTCTTGACCACTGAGCCATCTCTCCAGCCCCAAAATAAATTTAAATTAAAAAAAAAAATGATCATGATCTTTTTGGTAAAGTATTCATCACTCCATTAATTTAAAAAAGTCTTTTAAATTATCCTGAGGGTCAGAGTGACTTAGTTTTATAAATACCACTCAATGATCTAAAAGATTAAGAATAGGGCATGGTGGGTTACCTGCAATCTCTTCACCTAAGAGGCTGAGGCAGTGTGAGTTCAAGACCAACCTGGACTACACTGTGAGTTTCAGGTCCACTTAGGCTACAGAGTGAGGTTCAATCTCAAAAAGCCGAAGAACCAGGCATGGTGGCGCATGCCTTTAGTCCCAGCACTCAAGAAGCAGAGGCAGGTGAATCTCTGTGCATTCAGGCCAGCCTGGTCTACATAGCGAGTTCCAGGCCAGCTGGGATTACAGAGAGACTCTGTCTCAAAAAGACCAAAAAAACAAATCAAAAAGTCAAAAAACAAGGCTGGATGTGTTGGTAGCTCACGCCTTTAAGCCCAGCACTCAGGAGGCAGAGGCAGGTAGAGCTCTATGAGTTCAAGGCCAGCCTGGTTCATAGTGAGGCGTACATAGTAAGACCTCGCTCAAAAAAGAAAAACCAACTAAACAAACAAAAAAATAACAAAAAAAGTCAAAAATAAAAATAAATAAGTGAAATGAGGTTGAACTAGATAATTCAAGAGGGAACTAACTTTCCAGGAGGAAACAGCACATCACACATCACCCAACCAGAGTCCCAAGGCCTGAATACCTGGGGAGGTCCTCCCTGGAGGATAAGCAATTCCCGGACTGCTAATGGTTGATACACTTGATCCAAGATGTTTCTCAATGACTCCCTCGATAGGGCTCTTTCCTCTTCCGTTAAAACCTAAAAGAAATGTGCACTCAGCTTTAGTGGAATACAGACCAGGCTGAGAACAGAGGGTAACATTTAATAACCCTGAAAAAGATACTTGAGAGGGGCAAGGAAGGAAGGCATTCCCTCTTATTTCGATCTACATGGAAGAGCCTGTGCTATGCAAATGCCCCTGTGTATGCAAACCCTCCTGGCCCTCTCTCCATCCCTCACTCACTCCACTCCTGGGCAGATGCACTTATTATGCTGAGACTGTGGAATGCACTTGCTCACCAGTCAGTTTCGGCACATATTGCTCAGCCTGCCCCTCTTCTCTCTGTGGGAGAGGCAGAGCAGAGGTATATGCCCCATCGTGGGCAGGTGTCAGTTTTCCATTGCTCCTGACACAAGATGGGCAGTAAGTAATCTGGACTTACTTACTGATAGGAGGAGTTCTTCATTTATGAGCTATCACTTCTAACTCTGTCATACTGGTAACCCCCCCCACACACACACTTTTTTGTGTTCTCTGTGTGTGCATGTGCCACAGCATGCTTGTGGAGGTCAGAGGACAAGTCTGTGGACTCAGTCCTCTCCTTTCACCACTATGATGGCTCTAGGGATCGAACTCTGGTCTCCAGGCTCGTATGGCAAGCGCTCTACCTGCTGAACCATCTTGCTGACCCCACATTTTGACTTTTCATCTCTTAGTCTGCTAACTGTTTTTGTCCATTCATTCAGAACTTGGCTGGCAAAGACAGGTGCTACTTTGGAGGACTCACAGTCAGGGCCCTGCCCATTAATTACCACTCAGCACACTGAGATGTGGATGCCTGCAGAGCAGTGGCTGCCAGTAGGACTTGGTTCAACTTCATGATATATAGTCATGGGATCTCCCTGTCAACCCCTTATCCCAACTTTCAGTTTGGTTCTTTCCCTGTCTAATGTGTCTTTTCTCTCTCCTGCCTGAGACCCGAGGGGCACTGCAGAGCTTCAATAACAATTGCAAGACTTACAGATCCAGATTCCCAGATCTCAGGGCAGTACGGGTCGCTGGTACTGCATGCACTTTGGCATATCAGTACTTGAGGGTACTGAATTAAAGGGCACTGTGCTTTAGCTGGGTGCTATTTAGGCCACTGCTTGAACAATGACGGCTTTTAGGCAAATCCTTAGGAAGAGGTAGGGAGGGAACACAAGGAGAACAGGAAAGGAATAAGCTCAAGGGTGACCCCAGCAGGTGAAAGAGAAGTGCAGGCTTGGCCTGCCAGTGCTATGGCACTAGGAATCCCCTGTGTGACCCTTGACAGCTTCTCTGGCAAGCTCTTATACTAAGGCTGGTGGGCCTCTACAGGGACACAGTGGTGCCCTCTATGTTATACCTGTCATACATGTAAGTCCAATTTCCCCAATTACTGAGTTAATGGAAAAGGATCATGTCTGTTCTAGTTTGCTTTTTGTTGTTGAGATCAACACCATGATCAAAAACAATTTGGAGAAGAAAGGGTTTCTGTGGCTTATACTCCTAAGCATCATGGAGGGAGGTCAGGGCAGGCACTCACACAGGACTGAGACAAACCACGGAGGACCACTGCTTTACCTGCCTGCTCTCTGGCTAACTCAGCTAGCTATTTCATACAGCCCATGACCCCCTGTCCAGGGACAGCACCACCCACAGTGGCTGGGCACCCACATATCAATCATTAATCAAGATGTTTCCTCACAGAGAGGGCCACAGGCTAATCTGATGGGGGCAATTCCCTAATTGAGTCAGGTGGACTGGTGTAGCCTAACCAGGACAGTGTCCGTTTTCTGTAATCTCCATAGTCAAGTGCCACACAGCTGCTCACTGACTGACAGCAAGGAACAGGCACATTCCCCAACAGCTAACAAGGAACCTTGTTACGTAGTGTACCAGGGGCTCTACATCCTTAATCTTATTGGTTCTCCCAAGAATTTAAGGAAAGAGCATGAATGGTTTAGTGGCAACATTAGCAGTAACTACTTTCTGAATTAGCACTAGTCTGGTAGGAACTGGTTTAGGTGCTTTATACAGAATGTTTTTAATCCTCATGACTATCTTCCAAGGCATATCATTATTATGTTTATTTTTCAAAAAAATTTTTAATAGATTAAAAAGCTTTTTTTTGAGACAGGGTCTCACTACATAATCCTGGCTGGCCTGGAACTCACTGAGATCCGCCTGCCTCTGCCTCCCAAGTACTGAGATTAAAGGCCTGTGCCACCATGCCTGAAGAGTTACTTTATTTTTTCAGAGCTGAGGACCAAACCCAGGGCCTTGTGCTTGCTAGGCAAGTGCTCTACCATTGAGCTAAATCTCCAACCCCTTATTTTATTTTTAATCATGTGCATGTGTGTGTGTCTGCATACGTATGAATATGTGCACATGAGTTCAGGTGCCCACAGAACCCAGAAGAAGGTGTCAGATCTCCTGGAGTGAGTGGTTAAGGAGACAATTATGTAAGTGCTGGGAACTGAACTCAGGTCCTCTGCAAGAGCAGTATATACTCTTTTTTGTTTTTTATTTTAATTTTTAATGTAGTATCTTTATTAATTCTTTGAGAATTTCATACATGGATACAATGCCTTTTTAATATATTCGGCCTTCAGCCTCCCAACTTCCCCAATTCATCTTTTAAATCTCTATAAATTCAATTAGGTGCTTTATATTTTTCTGTAGGGCAAAGGTAAAGATACACTGGGGCTGTAGAAGAGAAATAGAAAAATGATAGAAAACTTCTTGGTGCCTGGGAATGGGAAAGGTCCAACATCAGGGCCTGGGTGCCGAGGACCACGTGTGGACTCAGGATCTTAGCTGGCCATTAAGGAAGATGGGAGTCCATTTTTGAAAATCAGGCCTCACAAGACTAGAAACCGCAAACAACAGAAACCTCCCCTGTCCCCAGCATAAGTCTAACAACAGAGGCAAAGCCACTGCCATGCACAACCTGGGACCTCAGTGGAGGGTTTGTGGAGAATGCAGCCACTCAAAGCAGGCTGAAACTGCTGCCTCCATTCTCCAAGCTGCTCTACCATCAGCCCACTACTAGAAGAATGTGGAACCATGGCTCACAGTTGGGGAACACAGGTCCAGGCTCACTGAAGGTGACCACAGCTCCAAGCCCGTAGGAGGGGACCACAGCTACACCTCATGGGAAGGGGCCATAGCTTCAGGGTCACAGGAAGGGACCACAGCTCCAGCTGTAGTAGTACACACTCTTAAAGCTGAGGCATCACTCCAGCCACTATATTCATTTCTTTTTTGAGACGGGGTCTTCCTGTAGCCTCAGCTGGCCTGAAACTTGCTATGTAGACAAGGCTGGCCTTGAATTCCGTCTGCCTCTGCCTCTCAGTGCTGGGATTAAAGGCATGAGCCACCATGAACAGCTACATTCATTTTTTAAAAAGAGGAACTAGAGGTTCAAAGAAAAAGCCTGAAATAGTTGTCCCACAAAATGACAGGGGACAGATGAAATGGCCTCTCTGGATGAGCAAAGGACTAGCATCCAACCAATGAAGCCCCCAAGGCCTGGTTCAGGTAGATCTTCGTGTGATCAAGTCCAGCCTGGTCTACATAGCAAATTCCAGGCCAGCTGGGGCTACAGGGAGATCGTGTCTCTAAACAAATAAGCAAACAAAATCCAACCCCAAAAGAGTACACCCTTGGTATGTTTTGGCATTCAATATAAATTCTAGATCTTTTAATCAACCAATTTCCAAAGAACTAAGAAATGTCTTTTAGTACCACACAGAACAAATATATACATTCATTTCTCTCTCTCTCTCTCTCTCTCTCTCTCTCTCTCACACACACACACACGCTCTCGATCTGTTACCTCTTCTACAGGTGCTGATGATTTTCTTTTGGTTGGGCAGAATCCCAGCTGGCACAGGCCTGCTGCGATATCCCCAAAGTGGCGGCAGAAAATCAGGCTCCCCAGAGACGAATGCTGAGCCACGTCCAGAAGGACCCTGCAGCTGGTGTACAGTCTTCGAGCCCCATGGGGGGCAGCCTCCAGACATACCACATCTTGAACAACAGCTCCAAACTCAGTTCTGTATCTCAAAGGGATTCCTACACCAGGCATGAAGTAGGGGCAGACACCCAAGGTGACGACAAATTGCAAGACAGACTGGAAGGTCTTCTGCTGAGAGACACTAAGTGTATCTGGGCTCAGGGCAGGGGCAGCTTCTGGGGTTCTAGGATTGGGTTTGCCTGGACTGAAATCAGCTACAAGGCGGATCATGGTTTCTTTTAAACACAACAGCAGCAACAATGTCTGAGACGTAAAAGTCCAAGTGACATCGGTGGAGTTCTGGGGCCACTCTGCCCTGCGAGCCATCTCATTTCTTAGGAGTTTAAGTTTCTTCCACTGAGCATCTTTCAGAAACTTGTCTTCCAAGGCAGACAGGTTAGATTTTAACGTATCCAGTAAGACATCATGTTTTGTGCTCTGTAGTGAACTTGAGCCTGATCCTTTCGAAGAAAAACAAAAAACAGGAAATGGTCCACAAGGAAAGCCAACGGCACGCCCATCTGTATGGACGACGTCGCCCACCCAGGCAGGAGACTACCAGTGAAGACGGGAAAAACGGGGTACTGACTACAAGACTTTGAGGCAGGTAAATTTTGGGGGGAGTAGTTTTTTTTTTTAGTGCTGGAGAATGAATCCAGGGCCTCACACATGCTATGTAACTGCTCAACCATTGAATTACAACTCTAACCCCAAATTTTAAAAACCTATGGGCTGACAAGATGGTTCAGCAATATAAGCACTTGCCTCACAACCTGATGACATAAGTTCGATTACCAGAACCCATATCATGGAAGCAGAGAATGGACTCCCCAAGTTATCTTCTGACCTCCACAGGCATGCTGGGTGTGTGTGTGTGTGTGTGTGTGTGTGTGTGTGTGTGTGTGTGTGTGTGTCTGATTATTCATGAAAATAATAAATTATTTTTTAAAAATTTTATGATACTCAGCCGGGTGTGGTGGTGCATGCCTTTAACCCCAGCACTCAGGAGGCAGAGGCAGGTAGATCTCCGAGACTGAGGCCAGCCTGGTCTCTATAGGGAGTTCCAAGCCAGCTGGAGCTATGGGAAGATGCTGTCTCAAAAAACAAAAAAGAAGCAATAAACATACTACTTATGATACTCTAATGGTGGATTCATGGTATTATTTATTTGTACAAACTCAGAACACACATCACGAAGACTGAGAGATCCATCTTTGTGAGCCCTAATGTAAACTCTGGACTGAAGTTAATAACAATGTATAAACATTGGTTCATTGATTGTAAAAAATGTACCACACTAATGTATGATGTTAGTAACAGGAAACTGGGATTGGGATAATTATGGGATTCTTTTTTCCTCTTATAAATTTAAAGATGCAGGTCAAGTATAGTGGGGCACACCTGCAATCCCAGCATTTGGGAGGCTGAGGCAGGAAAGTCTTGAATTTGAGGCCAGCCTGAGATTGTTTTAAAAATAACACATAGATGGGGCTGGAGAGATGGCTCAGTGGTTAAGAACACTGGTTGTTCCTGCAGAAGACCCGGGTTTGAATCCCAGCACCTACATGGCAGCTAACAACTGTCTATAACTCCAGTCCCAGGGGATCCAACAGCCTCTCTGACCTCCTCGGGCATTGCACAACATGGTGCACTTACCTACATGCAGGCAATACACGAATACACATAAAATTAAAAAAATAAAATAGCTGGGCATGGTGGCACACGCCTTTAATCCCAGCACTCGGGAGGCAGAGGCAGGCGGATCTCTGTGAGTTCAGGGCCAGCCTGGTCTACATAGTGAGTTCCAGGACAGCTGGGGCTACAGGGAGACCCTGTCTCAAAAAGACCAAAAAATAAAAAAATAAAAAGTTTAAGAAAAAATAACACACAGAAAAATAGTGCTCTTAGAGTGCTAGGGTTATGGGTGGTTTTCTTTCTTTGTGTGTACATGTATGTGTAAGTGTGTGTGTGGAGACTACAATTTAATATCAGTTGTCTTCCTCAGTCACTCCCCACGTTATTTTTTTAAATTTTATTTATTTATTTATTTATTATTTATGTATTTTATTGGGGGGGGTCTTTTTTTCAGACAGGGTCTCCCTGTAGCCCCAACTGTCCTGGAACTCACTATGTAGACCAGGCTGGCTTTGAACTCACAGAGCTCTGCCTGCCTCTGCCTTCCAAGTGCTGGGATTAAAGGTGTGTACTACCCACACCTGGCCTATTTATTTTATTTCATGTGTATCAGTATTTTGCCTGCATGGATGTTAAGTGCACCACATGTGTCCACAGGCTTGGAGACCAGAAGACAGCATCAGATTCCTTGGAATTAAGGATGGTTGTTAGCCACCATGTGGGTGCTGAGAGCTGAACCCAGGTCCACTGAAAAAGCAACCAGTGTACTTAGCTGCTGAGCCATCTCTCAGCTCTCCATCTTATTTTTTTGGGACAGGTTTCTCAATGAACCTAAAGCTCACCAGTCTGGCTAGACTAGCTGGTCAGGGAACCCTGGGGATCGTTCTGTTTCTGCCTCCCAGGTGCTTGGATTACCAGTACAAATTGCTGCCCTTGGCTTTTTCACATGGGCACTGGGGGATCTGAACTCAGGTCCTCATGCTCGCACAGCAAGCACTTTACCAAATGAGCCATCTGCCCAGCTCAGCTTTTCTTTTTTTCACTTAATTACATCTTTAATTTTTCCTATAGTAAGTATATTTTGCTTCTGTACATAGAAGGTTATTTTAGGGCCTGTGCCACCACACCTGGCTTATAAAACTATGTATTTTTGTAGAAAGGAAAACAGTATTTCCCAGAATGTTAATAATAGGTAATGAGATTAAAGTCCTTTTGATTTTCTTCTTTCCCTTTCTGTTTTTCTACCCTTTACTATAGTAAACATTAAATGCTTCAATAAAAAGATAAAGTAACAACATTGTTTGAAAATAATGAGGCTCAAGTGTGGTAGCCTTTAATCCCAGCACTCAGAAGGCAGAGTCAGACAGATCTCTGTGATTCTGAGGCCAGCTTGGTCTACAGAGCAGGTTCCAGGACAGCCAGGACTACATAATGAGACCCTGTCTGAAAAAAACAAAATATGGGGCTGGAGAGATGGCTCAGCAGTTAAGAGCACTGACTGCTCCTACAGAGGACCCGGGTTCAATTCCCCAGCACCCATACGGCGGCTATGAACAGTCCTTAACTCCAGTTAGTTCTAGGGGAATCTGAAGCCCTCTTCCAACCCGTCTTGCGGCATTGTGCAGGACAGGTGCACTCACATACATGCAGGCAATACACTCATACACATAAAATAAAAATAATAAATAAAATATTTAAAAAAAAAACAGGAGCTGGAGAGATGACTCAGCAGTTAAGAGCACTGACTGCTCTTGCAGAGGACCCAGGTTCGATTCCCAGCACCCACACAGTGGCTACACATAAAATAAAAATAATAAAAAATATTAAAAAAACAAAAAACAAAAACAACAACAAAATGTGTGTTCACAAAGCCTGTTGTCACTGGCCATTAAGACCACTAAGATTTCTACTCAACTCCTTGTGATTTTATAAAAAGATCTCTAAATTAGCTGGTGGTGGTGCATGCCTTTAATTCCAGCACTTGGGAGGCAGAGGCAGGTGGATCTCTGTGAGTTCAAGGCCAGCCTGGTCTACATAGTGAGTTCCAGGACAGCTGGGGCTAGAGGGAGACCCTGTCTCAAAAAGACAAAAAAATAAATAAATAAATAAAACCCTCTAAATCCAAACATAGGGTACAAGAAAGTGATTTAAAGTAAAATCCCAGCACTTGAGAGGTAGAGGCAGGCATATCTCTGTGAGTTCCAGGTCAGCCTGGTCTACATAGCGAGCTCCAGGCCAGCTGGGGCTACCAGGGAGACCCTGTCTCAAAAGAAATTTTTTTCAGAGAAAAAAAGAAAGGGAGGGAGGGAGAAGGAAAAAAAAATAGCATTCATATTCATACAATATAATGCAGGCTACATATACAAAATAATACAATTTTAGAGGGGCTGGAGAGACGGCGCAGTGGCTAAGCGTACTTACCACTCTTTCAGAGGACTAGATATACAAAATAATACAATTTTAGAGGGGCTGGAGAGACGGCGCAGTGGCTAAGCGTACTTACCACTCTTTCAGAGGACTAGGTTTTGGTTCCCAGCACTCACTTCAGTTGGTTTACAACCTCCTGGAACTCTAGCTCCAGGGGAATTCAATGCCCTCTTTGGGCCTCTGTGGACACCTGCACACATGTGCAGATACACATAACGAAAAATATAATAAATCCCTTTCCAGTGGTGACACTTCCCTACGAGAACAGGCCTCTTGCAAAGGATTTCCTTCATCCCTCTCCAGAAGAGGAAACACAAGAAGTGCCTGGTGCAGAGCCCCAATTCCTACTTCATGGATGTGAAATGCCCAGGATGCTATAAAAAATCACCAAGGTCTTAAGCCATGCACAAAAAGTAGTCAGGTGTGTTGGCTGCTCCACTGTCCTCTGTCAGCCTACAGGCAAAAAGGATGGCTTACATAAGGGTGTTCCTTCAGGAGGAAGCAGCACTAAAAGTACCCTGAATTAAGACGTAGCTCATTTGGCAAAGTACTTGCCCAGCAAGCCCTAGGTTAGATTCCCCAGCACTGCATAAAAACCGGGAGTGATGGCACATGCCATAACCCTAGCATTCAGGCAGTGGAAGCAGAAGGATCAGAAATTCAAGCTCATCCTCAGCTATACAAGTTCAAGTTCATCCTCAGTTAAATGAGTCTGGGGTACATGAGACCCTGTCTCAAACAGGAAAAAAAAAGTCTGGGGCTGGAGAGTTGGTTCAGCGGTTAAGAGCACTGGCTGCTCTTACAGAGGACCCAGGTTTGGTTCCTAGCACCCACATGGCACCTAAAAACTGTCTATAACTCCAGTTCCAGGGAATCTAAGGCATTGTCTGACCTCAGACATTGCATGACATGGGTGTACTTACATGCAAACAAAATACTCACATAAAATAAAATAAATTAAAATTTTTTTTTGGAAAAGCACTGTCTGCTCTTGCAAAGGGCTTAAGATTGGTTCCCAGCACCCACATGGTGGCTAATAACCACCAGGGGATCTGACTCCACTTCCAGGGGATCTGATACCCTCTTCTGGCTTCCCAGGACACTACATGAAGGTGAGGCACATGTAGGCCAGACACTCATACACATTAAAAAAAAAAAAGAAAAAAAAATTAATCAAAACCAAACCAAATAGCTACAAGTGCTAAACAAGAGATCACCCCATAAATCAGTTAAAACTGCATATTGTAGCTAAGAATGGAGGTACACATTTGTAAGATCAGCACTTTGTAGATGAGGCAGGGGGATGGAGAGGTTGAGGTCAGCCTGACCTACACAGCAAGACTATTTTAAAAAAAATTTTGTTTTTAAAGCCAGGCTTGGTAGCACACATCTTTAATATCAGCACTCTGGAGTCAAAGGCAGGCAGTTGAGACTACATAGTGAATTCCAGGCCTGCCAAGGCTACATAGTGAGACCCTGTCTCAAAAATTAATCCATCAATCAATTAATTTAATTAAAACAAATTTAGATATGTACTTTGCAGTTTGACTCTTAATGTCGTATTTTTTAGTGGTGGAAACCTATCTCTGCCACTAACTTGTTTTACTTTGAGGAATTTCCAATGTATCTGAGCCTAGGTTCCTTAGTCGGCAACTATGAAATACAAATGACACCTACTCATGGGATTGTTGTGAAGATTAAATGATATACATAAGAACAGAATACTATAGGGACTGATACTTAGTAGCACCATTTACTATTATTAACTTTTCACTTCCCATTAATATAATGCCTGCAATTGTAGTATGGGGTCAAAATTTGGAACTGAGAGCATCACCTCTTGACTTTATTTTGTTTTAGTCTTTTTGAGACAGTCTCCCTGTAGCCTCTGCTGGCCAAGAACTCACTCACTATGTAGACTATGCTGGCCTGGATCTCACAGGTATCCATTCCATTGCCTCTGCTGGGATTAAAGGTGTGAACCACCACACCTGGTGTGACTTTAAATATTTTATTTACTTTTTTTTTGGTCTTTTTGAGACAGGGTCTCCCTGTAGCCCCAGCTAACTGTCCTGGAACTCACTATGTAGACCAGGCTGTCCTTGAACCTACAGAGAACCACCTACCTCTGCTTCCTGAGTGCTGGGATTAAAGGTCAGCACCACGCCCAGTTTATTTACTATATTTATTTTTATGTGCATGCATGTATTGCCTGCATGTATATAAGTGCACCTGCAATGCCCACGGAGGTCAAAAGAGGGTATCAGATCCCCTGGAACTAGAGTTACAGATGGTGGTTAGCTGCCATGTGGGTGCCGAGTACCGAACCTAGGTCCTCTGCAAGCGCAGCCAGTGCTCTTAACTTCTGAGTCATCTCTCCAGCCCCCAGCTCATGACTTTACATGTGCCTTTACTTTGCTAATCCTACAAATACTCCCCCCCAAATACAATGCATTTGTAAGTGGGGCCCAATTTATAAGTACGTGCTCCAATTTTCCAGATACCATCAGAGTCTCTATACTCGATAATAATGCCTTAGCCTGAACAAGGAATTCGGCACAACTGAGTTCTAGGTCCACGGTGTGTACCTAATATGACCACGTGATCCTGGGCAGGTAACTTACCCTCTTCAGTGAGCCTCAGAGGGACTCAGAAGTAAAAGGAGAGTGCAAGGCTTCCCCACTCCCAAGGTCCCTTCAGATCCTAAGCTGGAAAGATCCTGTCAACCCAACACAAATACTGCTAACCAGACTGGAAAGCCCTAAATATCCTCCCCATTTTCAGCCCAAACGCCACTGCTTCGCATCTCCGGACACTGAATTTTACACAAGTCTGCAGCACTGGAACCCCTGAGCCCTCCCGCGGCTGCGACCCCACATTACACCCGTTGCAAGCCGCTTTCGCAGTGCTGCCTCCGAGGGGCGCGGGATGGCATCGTGGACTCAAGAGGTCTAGCCAGCACTCAGCGGATCCCAGGCCCGCAGCCTCAGTTCCCTCAAGATTGAAGTGAGGCTGGACACTGCCCAATCGCCCGGGGCCGGATGGAGAGTCCCGGCAGGGCCCGAGGGGAGCACGATGCGGGGCCCCGGCAAGCCGGGAGACCCGCGGGCCTGCGAGCTCTGCTCCAGCCCGGCGCCAAGACGCGTCCTCTCACCTCCCGGGCTCAGCAGCAGCTTCAGCGCTTCGAGAATCTGCTCCAGACCGCAGGTCTCCGGGGCCCGACTCGGCGCGGCCGCGGCTCCCGGGACCACCATGACTGGAGTGGAGCGCGCCACTTGCAACCCTCAGGCTCCCGGATGGACAGGCGCAGCCGCCATATTGAGTGTGGCAAGACGCGCTCCGCCCTAGAGGGCGGGGAACGAGGCATGGGGCGGGGCCTACTGTTGGGAACGTCCCCTACCTTAAATATTGTTTTCTAGTCTCCTCTACCCCCTGTACCGGATGAGAAACAAATACAGTTTCAGAAAATGGAATTAACTTACATAGCAAGAATAAAATAAAGGACAGGCGTGATGACGCAGGCCTTTAGTCCCAGCATATGGGAGGAAGAGGCCAGTCTGGTCCACATAGTGAGTTCCTGGCCACCTGAGGCTACCTGAGTGAGTTCCTGGCCACCTGAGTCCTTGTTTCAAAAGGCAAAAAAAAAAACTGAATGGAAAGAAGAAAGGAAGAGAGGGAGGGAAAGAAATAAGTCTTGCATGGTAGCCCATGCCTGTTCTGATGGGACAGTTAAAGATCACAGAACAATGATGCTACTTTTCCTTTTCTTTTTTATAAAAAAAAAAACAAAACATTTTATGGGGCTGGAGAGATGGCTCAGCAGTTAAGAGCACTAGTTGTTCTTGCAGAAGACCCGGGTTCGAATCCCAGCACCCACATGGCAACTAACAACCACCTGTAACTCCAGTTCCAGGTAATCTGATATTCTCTTCTGATCTCTGAGGGCATTGCACGACATGGGTACTCTTATATACATGCAGGCAATACAAATTTTATTTTTATTTTATATGTATGCGTGTATTGCCTGCATGTATATAAGAGTACCCATGTCGTGCAATGCCCTCAGAGATCAGAAGAGAATATCAGATTACCTGGAACTGGAGTTACAGGTGGTTGTTAGTTGCCATGTGGGTGCTGGGAACTGAATCCAGGTCCTCTGCATGAGCAACCAGTGTTCTTAACTGCTGAGTCATCTCTCCGGCTCCTAATTTTCTTTTTCTTTTTTATTTTTTGAGACAAGGTCTCACTATGCAGCTCTGACTGGCCTGGAACTCTCCCTATGTAGACCTGGGAACTCACAGAGATCCACCTGCCTCTGCCTTCCAAGTGCTGAGATTAAAGGTGTGCACAACCACACCTGCCTATTTTTATCTTTTTAAGATCTTTATTTTACTTTTAAATTATGCATATGTGTGTATGTCTGTGTGTGGGTATGTACGGGAGTGTGGGTATCTACAAAGAGCAGAGGCATCTGGTCCCATGGAGCTGGAGTTACAGGTGGTTGTAAGTTGGAAACTGAACTCAAATCTTTTGCAAGAGTGGTATGCTCTCTTAACCACTGAGCTAGCTCTCCAGCCCCTTAATTATTTTTAGTTAATATACAGAATATGTGTTTCATTATATTTACTTTTTAAAATATTTTAAATTTATTTTTATGTGTATGAGTGTATTGCCTGCATGTATGTAAGTGCATCATTTGCATGCAATGCCCTCAGAGGACAGAAGAAGGTGTCAAATACCCTGGAACTGGAGCTCCAGGACACAGGATGGTTGTTACAGCCACTTGGGTACTGGGTGCTGGGAACCGAACTTCGGTTCTCTGCAAGAGTAGCCAGTGCTCTTAACCACTGAGCCCTCTCTCCAGCCCCTCATTTTGACATTTTCATACATGCACACAAACATGATTGTCCTTTATGCATACCCTCCTCCATTACCCTCTGTTGTCCCTCCTCTTCCCTCCCACAGGTCCTCCTCCCCAGGACATTATTTCTAGGAATACTTCAGTAGGATTGCCTCTCCCCACTAAAAGCCAATCACTGCTGAAGCAGGAAGTTGGAGAGTTCAAGGCTGACATTTTGAGCCCCTGGGAAAAGAAAGAAAACGGAAAAAGGAAAAAAGACAATAGCAAAAACCAAAATCCAATCATGGTCCTCTACCACTGCCACACCCCCTCTTCCTACACCTATTTACATAAATGCTCTGAGCCCCTCCTCAAGGCCCACTGGCCTGGAGCTCAGGGCTGTCTCCTGCCCTTTGCCATTAACCACCAGAAGTCTTGAGGAGATCTGCTTCATATACAATCACCACCACGGGGAATGAAGCCTTAATACTTAACTCTTTCCTCAGGGCCAATTAGGTTCCTGCCTGATCCATCTCATTCTGGGTTCCAGCCCAAACATATCAACCATTTTCTAGCCTCTAAAGTCAAGAGATAACACTTTCACAATGCTACTGAGAGAAGTTAAAAGGAAACTGCAGTCAGTAATTGACAATATTTCCCACAGAGGGTATGCTTACTGATTAGTAACTGAATCTTTTTTTCTTTTTCTCTCTCTGAATCTTTTTTTTTTTCCTCTCTTCCTCAAGAACCGCTAGAACTTTTTTTTTTTCTTTTGCCTTTTTGAGACAGGGTCTCTCTGTAGCCCCAGCTGTCCCGGAACTCACTATGTAGACCAGGCTGGCCTTGAACTCACAGAGATCCGCCTGCCTCTGCCTCCCGAGTGCTGGGAATAAAGGCGTGTGCCACCATGCCTGGCCCCTGCTAGACATCTTTAAGTGAGAAAATACTTTTGAGGGGAAAACACATGACCTACAAAGTTACCATGTTTTTTGTTGTTGTTGCATACATTCCCTTCCAGGTCTGCTACTGACAATCTTTGCTCAGTATGGACACAAGTTTATTGTGGAGTAAAATATTTAAAGTGATTGAAGGTGTTAAATATTTAATGAGGCCAGACATGGTGTTGTACACAGCATGCTGAAGCAGAAGGATCACTCAGGAGTACAAGGCCAGCCTGGTCTAAATAGTGAGTTCCAGATCAGTCAGGGCTACATAGCAAGACTGTGTCTCAAACAAACCAAACCAAACCAAACCAAACCAAAACAAAACAAAACAAAACAAAACAAAACAAAAGCCTAGAATAGTGATGCATGCCTTTAATCCCAGCACTCAGGAGGCAGAGGCAGGTGAAGCTCTGTGAGATCAAGTCCAGCCTAGTCTACATGGTGAGTTTAAGAGTAGCTGGGACTACAGGGAGATCCTATCTCAAAAACAATAACACACAAACAAGCAATAGGCTGGTAGGATGGCTCAGTGGGTAAAGGTGCTTGTCACCAAATCTTATAACCTGAGTTCAGTTCAATCCCTGGAACCCACATGATGGAAGGAGAGAACTGACTCCCACAAGATGTCCTCTGACTTCCACACACATGCCTACCCCCAACTAAATAAATCACATACACATGAATAAATAAATGTAATTTTTAAAACGGGGTAGGGAAATATTCCAGTCAGTAAAGTGCTTTCCTCGAAAGCATGAGGATCTGAGTTTGACCCCCAGAACCCACATAAAAAAGCTGGGTGTGTTGGCACACATTTCTGATCCCAGGATTGAGAAAGCAGATAGGTTGCTCTCTGGGCTTGCTGGCCAGCCATTCTAGACTCCTTGGTGAACTCCTGGCCAGTGAGACCTTCTCTCAACAAAACAAGGGTTATATAATAAGACCCTGTCTTGAAAAAGCAAGGGCTATGGGACTGGAGAGATGGCTCAGCGGTTAAGAACACTGGCTGTTCTTGCAGAAAACCCAGGTTCAAATCCCAGCACCCATATGGCAGCTAACAACTGTCCATAACTCCAGTTCCATGGGATCTGGCCTCTTCTGTCCTCTGAGGGCATTATACAAGGGTGCACTTACCTACATGCAGGCAATACATACATACACATAAAATAAAAATAATAAAATATAAAAGAAAAGAAAAGCAAGAACTATATAGAGGAAACTTGTCTCAAAAACAAATAAACGCAGAAGTACAGCTGGGGGAATACCCAGTAATACCCCCCACACACAGTACTAAGCTGTTAAACCTCCATTACAAGCAGTTCCCACAAGAGCTATATCTGAGAGAGGACCAACCTTCTGCAAAGAGACATCTGGGAGTATTTAAGATATACATACTGAGGTATTGAGATATTCATATACAATGTGTTACATTGCTTTAAGTCAGCCAACAAGGAGCCTATTATCAAGATTTCAGAGACAGCAACTAAACAAGCCATCAAAGCACACAGAGGGTGTTTGCCTCATTTACTCAAACCAGAACTAACAATTCTAATAGCTTTCAGAGCATTAATGGCTGTTTTTCAGGCATAGAATTCCCAGCAAATTAAGGGTTCTTATAGAGAACTATCTTTGAAAGCCCTATGTGGTAGGCAGAATTTTGCATTTCATTTTTCTGTAATGAAATATCCTCCTTTCTTTTGGGGGGAGAGGGGTGTGCCTTATAGATTGAGCCTAAGGCCTCACACATGCAAGGCAAGCATTCTACCACTGAATTCTATCCCAGCTCTGACCCTTTTTCCTTTTGTTGCTTGTGCAACTAATGTTGTATTCAGGAAATCATTGCCAAATCCAATCTCATGAAGCTTTTCTGGCTTTCTGAGACTTTTATAGTTTTGGTCATTTTGTTCTTGATCCACTGAACTAACATCCATATATAAGGAAGGTCCAGTTTCATCCTTTTGCATGTCTTTAGCCAATTTTCACAGCCCATTTGTTGAAAAGATTACTCTTCCCCCCACTGAATGGTTTTGGAATCACTGTCTGTCACATATCATTTGACCAGGCGTCCTACTTGGTTGCAGCTGTGAACTTGACACTGCTCAGAGTCATCTGAGGGAATCTCAATTGAGGGATGGACCAGATCAGAACGGCCTGTGGCCATGTCTGTGAGGAATTATCTTGATTGATGACTGATTCAGGAGGGTCCAGCCCACTGTGGGTGGAACCATTCCTAGGGAGGTGGACCTGGCTGTAAAAGAAAGCAAACTGAGCATGAACCTGGGAGTGAGCCAGAGAACCAGCCAGCAAGCAGCGCTCCTCCACGGGTTCTGCCTCAAGTTCCTGCTGTCCTGCTTTCCTCAGTAATGAGTCCATCATTATCCTGGGAGTGTAAACCAAATAAACCCTTTCCTCCCCAAGTTGGTTTTGCTCAGAGTGTTTTATCATAACAACAGAATGAAATTAGAACACCAGGTATATGTGATTTTATGTGATTTATTTCTGGGCTCCTTAATTCTTCCCAAACTTTTTTTTTTTTTGTTTTTTTTTGGTTTTCCAGCTTACCTGGAACTCACTATGTAGACCATGCTGGCCTTAAACTCACAGAACCTGCCTCTGTCTCCCAAGTGCTGGGATTAAAGGCATGTGCCACAACACCCGGCAATTCTTCCCAAACTTTTATAAAAAATAAAGAGTATGCCGGGCGTGGTGGTGGACACCTGTAGTCCCAGCACTGGGGAGGCAGAGGCAGGTGAATTTCTGTGAGTTCAAGGCCAGCCTGGTCTACATAGTGAGCTCCAGGTGAGCTGGGGCTACAGGGAGACCCTGTTTCAAAAAGGCCAAAATAAATAAATAAATAAAAATAAAGAGTATAATCTAGGCAAAGCACTCAGGAGGCTGAGACAGGGCTGCAAGTTCAGGGCCAGCCTGGGCTATATAGCAAAGTCTGAGGCCAGCCTAGACTACACAGTGAGACCCTGCCTTAAAAAGACCCCCCCCAAAAAAGTGTACTGGTGTGGTGGGACTCCCAGTACTTGGGAGGCCAAGGCAGGTGGATCTCTGAGTTCAAAGCCAGCTTGGTCTACATAGTAAGTTCCAGGTCAGTCAGGTCTACACGGTGAGACCCTATCCCTGCCCCTAACTGTAGTAGACATATACTCTTCACCTTCATTCAGTCATATTTATACCCCAAGAATGAAGATTCTCCTATAAAATCACGCTACCAAGAAAATTAAGTCAGGATATTGAATGAATAGATGACCCAGCAATTCCAGTCTTCAGAACAGTCCTAAAAGAATTTAAAGACTCAAACAGGTATTTGTATGCCAGTGTTCATTTCAATGGTCTAAAGACAGAAACCACCCAGGAGAGTGGAATAAAAATGCATGCAATGGAATAGCACTCATCCCTAAAAAGGAATAAAGTTCTGATACATGCTCTAAAATGGATGTACCTTGAATATAGCTGATAAAATAAACCAAGAAAAAAAAGTTCACTTATATAAACCATATAGAATAGGCAAACTCAGAAATAAAATTGCTAAGGGGTGGAAATGGAAAATATTAGATACAAAATTTATGGTGGCTCACGCATGCAATCCCAGTACTTGGGAGAAGAGACAGGAGGATCAGAAGGTCAAGGCCAACTTTGGCTACACAGGGTATTGGCTGCCATCCTGGGCTACATGAGACCCTGTTTCAAACAAAGTTTGGTTCAAAGAATTCTAGTGAATATACCAGTGGATACATAGTTTAATTTCATTTATTATTTGGGGTGGGGGGTAGGGACTCATTATGTAGCCCTGGCTGGCTTGGAACTCTTTATATAGACCTGAGTGGCCTTGAATTTCTCCTGCCTCTGTCCCGAGTGCTGGGGTTAAAGATGTGTGCTGCCATAGCTGACTTTACATAAGGTTTTAAGTACTCTAAGTATCATTGAACTACAAATTTAGAAATGGTCCAATGAGCAGTTTCAGTTTGGGATGATGAAACATCCCAAAGAGCAACAGGGGTGGCTATACAACATGGACACACTTCTTGTCACTAAACTACATACTCAAAAGTGGCTAAAATGGAAACTTTTGTATTTCCTACAATAAAAATAAATTACAAAAAAAAAAAAAAAAAGAGGAAAAAGCAAAACAAAACAAAACTGGGTTGGAGGGATGGCTTGGCAGTTAAGATCAATGGCTACTCTTTCAGAAGACCAGAGTTCAGCAGCCATGACTGGAGGCTCACGACTGCCTATGACTCCAGCTCCAGGGAATCTGATGTCCTCTGTGGACGCCCACACACATGGCATAATCATACACACATACAAAAAGAAAAAAAAAAACCTTTCTTTTTTTAAAAAAAAAAGTTAGTTGGGCGTGATGGTGCACACCTTTAGTCCAAGTTCCAGGTTAGCTGGGGCTACAGCCTCCAGCAGAGAAAAGTTGCAGGCCTATCACCAAGTTTCTCAACAAGAATATGTTGGCATAGGGACTGGAGAGATGGCTCAGCTGTTAAGAGCAGTAGCTGCTCTTGTAGAGGACCTGTGTTTTGTTCCCAGCACCCACATGGTGGTTAACAACCATCTGTAACTCCAGTTCTAGGGGATCCAACACTCTTCCGTCCTCCTCAGGCACTGCACGACACGAGTGCACTTACGTACGTGTAGGTACTACACTCACACACATAATCATTAAAAATAATTTGTTGGCTTTTGGGCTGGACTCCCTGTTGTGGGGACTGTCCTGTACACTTGAGGACAGTTAGTAGCCTTAACTGGATGACAATCTCAACTTCCAGCCATCTCAGAAATTGTCAAATGTCAGCTGGGTAAAGTGGCAAAGGCCTGCAATTCAGCTGCTCAGGAGCTGAGGAAGAAGGAATGCCAGCTCAAGGCCAGCCTGGACAATTCAGAGACTGTCTCAAAATAAAAAGCAAAAAGATAAGGGGTCAGAGATGTATTTCAGTGGGTCCAGTACCTGCATGGCATATGCAAAGCTCTGAAAGTTCAGTTCCCAGTACCACAAAACATATACATAAAAAAGTCCAGGGCTGGAGATGGCTCAGTGGTTAAGAGTGCAGAGGACCCAAGTTCCATTTCCAGCATCCACATTGGGTGGCACACAACTTAATTCTACCTCTGGGGAATCTAATGCTCTCCTGTCCTTCACGAACACTGCATCCATGTGCACACCCCCCGCCCCAATACACAAATACACCTAATTTTGAAAAACAAAGATAAAATCTAAGCCAGGCATGGTGGCACACACCCAGAACTCAAGAGGCACTGGCAGGGGACCTCTGGGAATTTAAGGCCAGCAAGTGCTACAGGGCGAAACCCTGTCTCAAAAAAGAAAAAAAAAAAAAATTGCAAAGAGGTTAGAATGTAGTTCAGTGGCAGAATACTTGCTTAGCATGTGCAAGGCCCTAGGTTCAATCTCCAGTACCACTCAAGGAAAGGAAAGATGGGAGGGAATTGCCAAATGTCTCTTGGGGGAAGGGGCCACAATATTCCCTGGCACAGAATCACTGCCTATACTAATATTGTAAAATGTTCACCGTCTGAGCATTGCAGCTTCTGAGCTTCACTCTGGTCCCCTGACCTTGGGATTTTACTGATTTCATCATGTGCCACATTGCCGGAGGCTGTGTTGAGCATGTCCCAAGCAGAACTGAGTGTAGAGAATTCACTTAGCTGGAAGCTCCCTTCTCCATGCACTGAGATGGACCTCTTTGTCTTTGTCTAGCATAAGAGTTCCTATGGGAGGCCAGGCATGATAGCGCATGCCTGTAGTCCCAGCACTTGGGAGGCAGAGGCTGGCAGATCTGAGTTCAAGGCTAGTCTGGTCTCCATAGTGAGTTCCAGGCCAGCTGGGGCTACATGTCTCAAAAAGACAAAAAAAAATTATTTTGGATAGCTAGATGAGAGAGATCTAAAGTGCAAGTGGATGGACTTGCACTGGGGAATGTCTGGGGACACTGACTTGACAAGGTGGGTCTTATTACCCAGGACAGAGTATATGGGTTCCAGTGTGGGGGCTATGGGAAGGTGCTGGTGGGGATGCGGCTATAATGATGATTCAGATTATTCGCTATATTCTGTATGAAATTAAATGAAAAATTTTAAAAAAAGGGTCCCTATGGGATCAAATCAAGCATGTTTGACAATGGTTTAACAAAATTCTTTAATAAAATTTATAAAAATGCACTTTTGAGAACAGTTACAATTGTGTTTCTTTTCCATGCCCCCCAAATACAAAATTATCAGCACCCACACACATATACGCTCCAAACTACGACACTCTATACTGAACTATGTTAGACAGTTTAAACTGTAGAAAAATCAGCACAATCCTCACAACTGATTGCAGACACGATTTTTTTTTAACTTCCCAAAATAGTTGACAGTAATTTCAATAAAATTCTTTCCAGCAGTTATTTGCATTTTGAATTACAAGAAAAAAAAAAAGGCTCAAATCAAAGCTCCCCCCACCCACTCACCCTCCCATTAGGACAGTATTTACTTCCTGCTTCTATGAGGAAATGTGCAATTTCTAATAGTCTCAGTTTTCTATGCACACTTGGGTCCAGATAAACCAGTGTTTTCTGTAGACATCATCAAAAGCAGGCACTTGGGGACTCTAGGCTTTGGGACTTGCAGACAAGGATTCCAGCCAGGAAACATGCTGAGATTCCTCCACTGTTCCAGAAATTTTCAGGGAGAGAGGCCAAGCCACGTCTGCCACCCTCGGTATCAGTTTGCTAAATAAATGGCCAGGCTCAGTAACAGGCCTTCCTACTATCCCTGAGCCTGTCTCTTGAGTTTCCTGTCTTTGGCTGTAGCACTCCAGGCACTAGTCTGAGTACATCACTCTTTTGTGTTAGTGTTAAAGAAACACAAAACCAAGCGGCAACTGAAAACTCCCTTATTCTCTGGTCATGCACGGCTCCCTGCATGGAACCACAGCAACACATCTCACAACAGCATTCACCTAAGAAAGAGTGACTCTGAACAAGGAATGCAGCACAAGGGGGTACTCAGGAGGCTAGAAAAGAATGTCAAGACCACCTGCCTCTCCCCTAGATGCAACTCTAAAAGTCTTTGCATCAGAGAACTCCCATCTAGGAGAGCAACAGAATTCAGGAATACAAGTGAGTATTAGAGCACAGAACATCAATACAATGACGGTGGGAAAGCACACACACAAAAAAAGGGTGGGGCGGCGGCTTGGGGATGTGGCTCAGGGGTAGGACATTTGCCTTAATTCTCAGCTCAACGAAACAAAACAGAACAACTTTCTGTTCATAAACCAACAGAAGCAAAACAGGCTCCCCTCCTTTTTAAACACAAAACAAAACCCCTTACAGAAATCTGCTACCTGAATCTTCTGAGGCTGAGGTTGTTGCTCTGAAATAATAAATGCTATTGGGGCTGTAGCTCAGTGGTAGAGTGCTGGCCTGGCATTGCAGGCCCCAGATTCATCCCCAGGCACAGAAAAGGAAAAAAAAACAAAAACAAAAAATAAAAAGGGTGAGGCAGGCCTGGAGACAGCTCAGTGGCAGAGTGCTTGATTAGTGTGCACAAAGCCCCATGTTCAAATCCCAGCACAGAGGGGTGGGGGTGGGGATTTCAAGAATAAACGAGAACCTTCCTGACACACAGTAGGCTGACGGGAGTGGGACTGCTGTCAGAACCACATCCCGGGTCGGTCTTTCTCCTAGAAACCGAGGAAAGGAGCTGAAAGTCACAGGCAACATTATTCTGCATTTCCCATGGCTGCAACCAGGGATGCCTTCCTCTGGTCCTCTAGTCGTCCTCCCCACCGCCGTACATGTCAGCCAGCTTCTTGAAGCGATTGCCCCACTCATTCAGGTAGTCGTAGTCCTGGTCCCGGTCTGACTCTGAGGAGTTCAGAGAGCTCAGGCTAGCAGCTTCAGAACCACTTCCCTCATAGTCAAACACCAGCAGCGAGTCATAAGGAGGCGCTGTGGGGTCGCTGTCCGCTGCCTTCAGGTTCTAAAGGAGATACACATAAGTCTTTCAGTGAGGGGAAGGTCACAGTAGGCATCACTATGCAACTGCAGTAAGCAACATGTGACACATGACACATGACATAGCAACCAGGGTATTCAACACCTGCCAGACACCCACATACACATGGAAAGACATGGTTACAGAAAAATGTACAGAATGCATTTTCCCTAAGCCAAAATGCTAAATTTTAGGTGGGCAGATAGAGATGGGCATCAACCAATCAAAAACTAGGGTGGAGGTTCCATGTTCCCAATCAAGATGGATAGATGCTAAAAATGAGAGTAGTCATACTGGTACATATAGAAAAGTTCTGGGAGGATGGATACCAAACTATTGTTCAAAGTAAACTCTGGGGCTGGAAAGGTGGCTCAGTGGAAAGGAGCACTTGATGTTCTTTCAGGGGACCCAGGTTTGGTTCCCAGCACCCACGTAGTGGTAGTGGCTAACAATTGTCTCCAAACTGTCTCCAATTCCAAGGGATTCTACGCCCTCTCTGGCCTCTGTGGGCATTGCATATATGTGGTACACTTCCATACACGCAGGCAAAACACTCATAAAATACATAAAATAAAAATGAATTTTGGGCTGAGTGTGGTGGCGCACACCTTTAATCCCAGCAGTCGGGAGGCAGAGGCAGGTGGATCTCTGTGAGTTCAAGCCCAGCCTGGTCTACAAAGTGAGTTCCAGGACAGCTGGGGCTACAGGGAGACCCTGTCTCAAAAAGACAAAAAAAAAAAAAAAAAAAAATTGAAGAAATCAACTGTGGCTGGTGATGCATACCTTTAATCCCAGCACCTGAGTGGCAGAGGCACGTGGATCTCTGTGAGACTGAGGCCAACCCAGTCTACACAGTGAGTTCTAGGCCAGCTGGGCCTTCATACAGGGAAACTCTGTCTCAAATTAAAAAAAAAAACAACTTGACTCTGGGGAGTCAAGTTGGGGATATTAAAGAAGAGTTTGCATGGGTCTTTTTTCCCTCCCATTTAGGGTCTTGCAGGGACCCACTCTGGCCTCAAAAGCACAGTCCTCCTGCTTCCTCCTGCTGCAATTACAGTCACGTGCCACCACCCCCTGCTCTATCTTTTTTTCTTCATAAACATCATCTTTTTGAAAAATTGTGGTTTTTAAAACAATTTTTTATTTATTTTATATGTATGAGTGTATTGCCTGCAGGGATGTAAGTGCACTAGTGCAATAGCCATGGAGGTCAGAAGAGGGTGTCAGATCTCCTGGAACTGGTGTTACAGATGATTGTTAGCCACCATGTGGGTTCTGGGAATGCAAGAGCAGCCAATGCTCTTATCCTCCTGAGCCATTTCTCCAGCCCCCAAATTGTGATATATTTTTTAAAACATTTCATTGTGTGTGTGTGTGTGTGTGTGTGTGTGTCTAAGTGTGTGCCACAGTGCAGTCAGAGGATAACTTATGGAAATCGGTTCTCTCTTTCTACGTGTTGGTTCCTAGGACTGAACTCGGGTCATCTGGTTTGGCCATAAGCACCTTTACCCACTAAGCCATCTTGCCAGCCTTCATTTTCTTTTTTTTTTGTATTCTGAGACAGGGTCTCTCTGTAGCCCCAGCTGGGCCCGGAACTCACTATGTAGACCAGGCTAGCCTCGAGTCTAGCCTTCATTTTTGTAATTTGTATAATTTTTTTTCCAGTGATGATTGAATCCAGGACCTCATAGTGATCTACCATGAAGCTGTATCACAAGCCTTGTAACTTAAACTTTTAAAATTCCAAGCATAAATTTACATTTTTTAAATGTGCTTGCGTGTTTTGCCTACATAAATGTAATTGCATCTTGTGCATAAAATGCCCACAGCAGTCAGAAGAGGGTGCCAGCTTTCCTGGCACTGGAGTTTCTACCTTTGTTAACCACTATATGGATGCTGGGAACCAAACCCAGGTCTTCTGAAAGAGTAGTCAGTGCTCTTACCTGTTGAGCCATCTCTCTAGCTCTTATTTTATAATTTTAAAACACTACAAATAAGTCAGGCATGATATCACATGTTTGTAATCCCAGCGCTTTGGGGGTTGGAGGCAAGAGGATCAGGAATGCAAGGTCATCCTTGGCTACATTGCAAGTTTGAGGCCAGACTGGAGTACATAAAATCCTGTCTCAAAACAAACAAGAAATGTATAAAAATTTAAACAATTATAAACTCTTCCCTTACTGGCTCCTTTGTTCATTCCATTCTCAGTTCTTTAACCTTAACCTGAGCTAATTAATTTAATGCCTCACTATTTTCCCCTGAAGGTAGGGGCAACGTGGTGACATTTTGTCCAATGACAGACACTTTGGACAAAGTAAAATCTACGACGGTCTGCATTTCTGATATATACAATAACATATGGATGCTATTTTTATGCACTTCAGGTAGATCAGGATACATTTTGTGTGTATGCAGTGTGCACGTGCATGTTTGCATGTGTGTGTGCATGCATATGGAGGCCCATGATCGACATCAAGAGTCTTCCTCAATTGCTCTTCACCTTATTCATTGAGACAGTCTCTTAACTGAACCCAGAGCTCACTAATATGGGCAGGTCTGTCTGAGCACTAGAATTACAGATGGGCCTCCTTGCCCACCTGGCATGTACATGGGTGCTGGGAATGCGAACTCTGGTCCTCAGGCTTATGAGGCAAGCACTTTCTCCAATGAGCCCCAGCCTCCCTATGACAATACCTATTCAAGCTGTTATGAACACAGGGAACCATTCACGAAAACAAACTAGAATGTACTCTTCAAGTCTAGATCTACTCAATTCTTGAAAGCAGTTCTTGGTCTTGTCATATAGACTTAGCAAAGTCACCAAAGACCAGCGCAAGGTACTGTTGGTTCTGAAATTCAGATGAATCACAGAAAAACCAAGGCCCTTAGGGATCTGGACAAGGCAGACACCTGAAGGTTCTCATTGTAACACTTCTCTCCTTGGTTCCTAGATTCAGAGATGAACTGTGCCTGGCCCTCAGCTTTGCTTACTCACTTCATCAATAAAGTTTCCAATTTCATCAGGATTGGCAGGGCGGGGACGATACTGGGGCACACTCATGAGGGTGGGAGCCACGTCATTGCGAGTCACTTCAGGTCGAGCGTCCAGGCCCCTGTGCAGCTGGCTCAAGTCAAAGTCCTTTGGAAAGAAGAGGAGAGACACGACAGAGTTAAAAACAAACAAAAACCAGTCGCATACACAGGGCTGTGTTTGCCTCACAGAATCACAGACTATGCTACCAGTTAATCCCATAACTACCAACTGTGTAGTATTTACTAGCCGTGCCCAAGTTCATATAAAATGGCAGTTTCCAAATTGAAAGTCTCCCAATTCACAATGAAATAACAGACAGCATGTGGGGATTGTATGAATACAAGCTATCGGGTCTCACTCATTTTCATGGGACATGATTAATTAGGTGACTACTTGGCAAATACTCATTCCTTTCCCACCACAGCTGCTGTAAGAAGAAGGTAGTCTATCAATACACTGTCATGTGAGGAGCTACAGGAAACGAAGACAGCAGGTGCGGTCTGCAATGCATGCCTGCAGGGACCCACATGAGGCTCCCTGCAGCAGACCTGGACACAAGCCACAGCTTAGGGCCTTTCATTTCAGCTCAGCTGAGTCCTAACAGATCTACAGATGCTGTGAGCAATCATTCTCAAGAACCCAAGAATGTCTAAGGAAACCCCCGACTTTTTGGGTGCCCCGAGATCCTGGGGTTCTCTGCTCCGTAGCAATCCTGTTGTGATGGCTCACTTGAACACTGTATTTGGCATCCCCCAATTAGACCTAAAAATGTCTTGTAATCTGGAATTTTCAAGTAAGGCCTGTTGATGCTTACTCTTCACAGTCAAGTTGACTCAACTGAGAATCACCTAGCAGACATACTTCTGGCATGTTTTCTGAGGGTTCTTCCAAGAATGCATAACTGGGGCGGGGGGCAACACCACCCCATGGGCTGGGATCTCAGACTGAATGAAAAGGAGAAAAGGAGCAGAGGGCCAGCACCATCTTCCTCTTTCCTGACTGGATGCAATGTGACCAGCTGCCTCTCCCACTGCTGTGCCTTCCCCACCAAGATGGATTCTACCTGTAACCCATGAGCCAAAGCAAACCTTTCTTGCCTTAAAGTTGCTTTTGTCAGGGACTTTATCACAGCCAACAAGAAAAGTAAAGAATACAGCAGATCTCTACACTCAAGGGGAAAGATGTATTGGTTTAATATCCACAAAAAGTTAAAAACAGTTTGAGCACCAACTTCAAGAGAAATAGTTTGCTCTATGACAACTTCTTCACAGTATCTTAAAGATAACTTGCTTGAAGTTCATGTACTGAACAACAATGAGGAAGTAAGTGCGGGCTCTGGGCCAGATCCCCTTGCTTCACCTCTTCCTAGCTATGAGACCTTGGACATGTCACTCAGCTGCTCCATGCCCCAGTTCCCTCATCTAAAGGCAGCACAATACACAATCAATAAATGTTATCGGTTATTAGGCCTTAAAAAGTAACACACAGCTGTATCAAAAGCCTGCCTTCTCCTAACCATTGCTTCTTCCAAATAAAGCAATCACCAGAGTTTTATGTCTTTAAAACCCACCTGGTCTTCTTCTCCACCTCCTTCTTCATCATAGTAATACACGTTGTCCCGGGTGTCGTCCTCTGGGGGCAGTAGCGGCTCTTTGACCACGCCTCTCCTTCGCAGAAACAGCAGGAGTAGCAGGATGAGGACTGGAGACAGGGAAGAGAAGAGAGTGATGAGTCGCAGGCAAGAAAGGCCAGAGGAAGCAGTCATCATGGAGTACTGTGTCCTCGGACCCCAGACAGGTGGCAGGTACTCAGCCACTGCTGCTCCCAAAACACTTGCTAACTAATCCACATGGCATCTGGAGAACTACCTCCAGATCGCCCTGGGCTATATATATAGTAAGTTCTAGGAGAGCCTGGGCTACAGAATGAGGCACTGTCACAGGAGCAACACAACAAGGAAATGATGATGATGTTGATGATGATGATAAAATGAGCTGTCCATATGTATCCTGGCACTTCTGACTGAAATGTCCAACATCAGAATCTTCTCAGCCAAGTCTAATGAAACACACTCATTAAAAATTTACTGGAAAAAGAACGCAACCTATCTGTGCTAGGCAGATAGGCCATTATCAACCTCAGTGTATTCTCAATGGTTATTTTTCTCTTCAAAAATTTAGAGGGTGGGGTCTCAGAGAGAGCACAAATGTGACACCCACTAAGCATGTCCTGCAGGTTGAAAGGTGCACTCTCCTCAAGTGTGTGAAGCTACAGAGTGAATAGTTCAACCCAAAGCCCAGATTTGCTCCACTGCTTCCTGGAAGTCTTCATCCACTCCCATACCCTTTTTGCTCCATGTAGAATCTACTTAAAACTCCCTTCATGTCTTCACTAATGTGGAAACTTTCTGAATACCCTATCTCATGTTTTCTTTTTTTTTTTTTTTTTTTTTTTTTTTTTTTTGTCTTTTTGAGACATGGTCTTCCTGTAGCCCCAGCTGTCCTGGAACTCACTATGTAGACCAGGCTGGCCTTGAACCCACAGAGATCCACCTGCCTCTGCCTCCGGAGTGCTGGGACTAAAGCCATCCCTGGCTGAATACCCTATCTTAATCCTACTAGCTCCAGTGGTCCAAACAACAGCACCATGAAACTTACTAATAGCCTTTTTCTGACTGCAAAAGCATTCCTGATCTGGACCATCCCTTTTTTAAAAAGTTATTTTTGGGGCTGGAGAGATGGCTCAGTGGTTAAGAACACTGGTTGTTCTTGCAGAAGACCCGGGTTCAAATCCTAGCACCTAGATGGCAGCTAACAACTGTCTGTAACTCCAGTCCCAGGGGATCCAACAGCCTCTTCTGACCTTTATGGGCACTGCACATCATGGGTGCACTTACCTACATGCAGGCAATACACACATACACATAAAATAAAAATTTAAAAAGTTATTTTCATTTTATGTGTATGAGTGTTTTGCCTGCAAGTATGTAAGTGCACCACATGTGTGCGTGCAGTGGCAGAGGAGGCCAGAAGAGGGTGTCAGACCCTCCATAACTAGTTATAGACTGTTAGCCACCATGTTGGTGCTGGGAACCGAACCCAGGTCCTCTACAAAAGCATTAAGTGCTCCTAACTACTGAGTTATCTCTCCAACAACTAGGTCATCCCTTTTTAATCTTGAGTTTTATATTTATCACCTTTGAGGATTCTTTTTTGTTGTTGCTACATATTCATTCATTCATATGTGGAGATCAAAGGACAATGTAAGAGTCAGTTCTCTCCTTCTACCATGTGAGTTCAAGGGATTGAACTCAGACCAGTAGACTAGGTGACAAGTGCCTTTACCTGCTAGCCCATCTCATCAGGATGTCCCTATCCGTTTTTAAAGGACTTATTTATTTTATGTGTTTAAATGTGTACCACATGTGTGCCTGGTGCCTGTGGAGACCAAAAGAAGGCATCAGACCCCTTAGAACTGGAATTACAGATGGTCACGAGCTGCAATGTGGGTGCTGGGAGCTGAATCCAGTCCTCTGGAAGAGCAGTAAGCACTCTTAATCACTGAGCTGTCTTTTCAGCCCCCATCCCCCCCTTAAAAAAAAAAAACAAAACCAAAAAAACCAAAAAAGAAAAAACCAGGGCCTTAAATTATATAGTCTAGGCTCACTTCAAGCTCAATATACAGCTTGAACTTCTCTTTCTCTTTACAGCTATGTGCCACCATGCTATGCAGTGTTGTAGACTGAATTCAAGGCCTTGTGCACACTAGCCAAACACTCCACCAAACTACACTACATCCCCATGCATCTTAAAAAAGTGTTATTTATATTATGACTGTTTCGCCGGCATGTATGTAAATGCACAGGTGCAATGCCCATGGAGGCCAGAAGAGGATGTCAAATTCCCTGGAACTGAGTTATAGGTGGTTGTTAACCTGCCATATGGGTGCTGGGAATGAACCTGGGTTCTCTGTAAGAGCAGTCAATGCCCTTAACCACTGAGCCTTTTCCCTGCCCCCTATGGGTTTTTTTTTGTTTTTGAGAGAATGCTGCTACTTAGTATTTAGTTTGGACTGCCTCAAACTTTCAATCCTCCTGCCTCAGGCTTTAAGTTTTAGGGTTACAGGAATGTGCCAATGCTCAGTGACTGTTTCTAACTGACTTGTCATTGCTTCCTTTTAGAAATTCTCAGAGCACTGGCATCAGCCCTGGGTTCACTCTAAGGTGAGATCAAGAGATGTTAGTTTCAAAGACTATGGGAGAAATAGCCAATTTTCCTCCAGCATTCCTTTTCTCCTTTATCCTTTCAGCAAAGGAAACTCACTGCTCAAGCCTCCTTTGGGCACATGGTCACCCAGTGAGAGCTTCCAGGCTCCTCTGCAGCTTGGTATGGCTGTGTTTGGGCCAAGAGGATGTGAGGTGATACTTTTGTCTGCAGCTTGTAGAGAGGCTGCCTCTTCCTCTCTCATTTGCCCTCCACCCTGCAATATGGAGGTGGTGGTGAGCTGGCCAGCCTTGACTGTGCTAATGAGGATAGCATCTCAAGGTATGTGGTCCTGCAACCTCAGCATCACTTGGGAGTTAGTTCAAAACGCAGCAGCTGAAGCCCCTTGCCAGGTATCTTGGGACTGAATTCCCATTTTACCAAAAGGCATGGGTGATGTGTATGCAATCAATCTTGGGGAGCACAGGAAGATAGAAAGAAAACAGAAGGATCCAGGGTCCCTTTCAACCATGGATCAGTTTAACCCATACCCTAACTAAAAACCATGTCTATGAAATAAACCTCCACTTCAGAAGCTATAGGCTGAAGCACTTGCCAAATGCACTTACTCAGCAAAGCCAGAATTCCTCCAAGAATCCCCAGGATGGCAGGAACTTGTAATCCCGCTTCCACATAATTCGCCCTCATACAGTTGTTGACGGCCCCTTCGCAGTCGCACACAATGACGTCCAAGGTGGTCACCTGGTCTTTGTTCTGGTTATCCATGAGCCTGAGGTTGATTTTGTAGTCACCCAACTCTAAGGTCTTTCTTGGCTTCAAGAGGAGAGACTCTTGGGCTGAGGAAATCAAAACAAGGAAAAGATACGACCAGAACAAAAAGCTCACTTGAGATTCAAACTGTTAGGGAACCAGAGTCATTCCAACAGAGTTGGTCAGAACTACTTGGGGTTCAGATAACTGTGTTAAGCATCTCAAAGTGCAACACCCAAAATGCAGCACCAGGAAAGGAAAAGGGCTTTGGGTACCATTACTGAAATGTGAGGGGGAAAGGGCAGCACAGAAATTCCAAAGTGGGGAGGCAGAAGACACACAGCAGGCAGAGCCAAATTCCAGAAAGAGCCAGAGTTCCCACCTGGGTCACTGTACTCTATGGTCCAGTTGACGCTGGCCCCATGGGTTAGTTCGGCTGTGAAGGGGGAGGTGTTGGGGGGCAGGTCTGGATCAATAATGTTGATGACTTGAGGCTGTGGATTCCTCTGGCAGAAGTGTACATTTCGAGGTTCTGGGATGGGAGCATTGTCATTCACATCAGATAGAACCAGGAGAAGGGTTCCTGTGCCTGTGGCAATCGGAGAGCCTAAGAGAAAACACAGAGAGGCTGTCACAACTTGGGGATGATAGTGAGTGACATAACACCTCCCAGGAGGCCAAATCTTGTCCTGGCTTATTTTTCTGGACCCTCAGCACACCCCACATTACCCACAGTCTCTGTCCTACCCGTTGTGGCCTTTCGCTGCCAGATGGGTAAGCTTTCTGACAAGCTCATTCCCCATTTATGAACAACTACTGAGGTTATCCCTTGAAGACATCTTTCTTCTTCCTTCTATAAAATTGTTCGTTTAAGCTGGGCGTGGTGGCGCATGCCTTTAATCCTAGCACTCGGGAGGCAGAGGCAGGTGGATCTCTGTGAGTTCAAGGCCAGCCTGGTCTACATAGTGAATTCCAGGTCAGCTGGAGCTACAGGGACACCCTGTCTCAAAAAGACAAAATTGTTCATTTAAGTTTTGTTTTTGAGATAGGGTCTCACTATGTAACCTCTGAACTTGCAATCCTCCTTTCTCAACCTCCTGCCCAGGTCTGATTCCAGAAGGTCTTTTAAAAAAATAATTTTGAAGGCCGGGCGTGGTGGCACATGCCTTTAATCCCAGGACTCGGGAGGCAGGGGCAGGTGGATCTCTGTGAGTTCACGGCCAGCCTGGTCTACATAGTGAGTTCCAGGACAGCTGGAGCTCAGGGAGACCCTGTCTCAAAAAGACCGAAAAAAGAAAAAAAAAATTTTTTGTTTTGAGAAACCTGCATGTAGTGGCTCTTGTTTGGAATCCTACAACTCCTGAGGATGAGGCAGAAGACTCATCTCAAATTTGAGGCCAACTAGGGTTAAATAGTGAGTTAAGGGTTAACCTAGGCTACATAGTGAAACTCTGACTCAAAAAACAAAACAGGCAATTTTGGGGCTGGAGTGGTAGTACATGTCTGTAATCATAGAAGAATCAGACTAGCCTGAAATACATAGTCTCAAAAAATAACAAAAAGTAATTCAGGAGCTGGAGATGCAGGTCAGTGGCAGAGAGCAAGTTTAACATGCATGAGGCACTGGAGTCCATCCATATTTGAAATATAAAAAGGTTGGAGAGATGGTTTGGCAATTAAGAACACTTGCTACTCTTCCAGAGGACCAAAGTTTGATTCCCAACACCCAGGTCAAGGTGCTCACTGCTGCTTGTAACTACAGCTCCAAGGGATCCGATGTCCTCTTTTGGTCTCTGTGGGCATCCAAACATACAATATTTGTGCACACGTGCATACACACACACACACACACACACACACACACACACACACTGAGGAAGGAGTTCAGTGCTTGGGGGGGGTTCTGGGGGCTTTTTGAGACCGGGTCTCCCTGAGGCCCCAGCTGTCCTGGAACTCACTATGTAGACCAGGCTGGCCTTGAACTCACAGAGATCTGCCTGCCTCTGCCTCCTGAGTGCTGGGATTAAAGGCGTGCGCCACCATACCTGGCTAAAACTTTTTAAAAATTTATTTATTTTTTTATTTTATATGTATGCGTGTATTGCCTGCATGTAGGTAAGTGCACCCGTGTCGTGCAATGCCCACGGAGGTCAGACGAGGCTGTTGGATCCCCTGGGACTGGAGTTACGGGCAGTTGTTAGCTGCCATGTGGATGCTGGGATTCGAACCCGGGTCTTCTTCAAGAACAACTAGTGTTCTTAACTGCTGAGCCATCTCTCCAGCCCCAGCCCCTACAGTTAATTCTTAAAAAAAAAAAAAAGCAGGTGAGCTCCCAAACATCTATCCAGAGCTGTGTCTGTCATATTCACTTTGTAACACTGGAAACAACCAGGGCCTCACATGTGTTATACAAGTGCTCTACTATGGAGCTACAACCCTTGCATTCAAATTTTAAATATTTATTTATTTATTCATTCATTTATTTGAGACAGATTCATGTACCCTAGACTGGCCTCAAACTCACTATATACCTGAGTATGACCTTCAACTCTTCCTGATCCTGCCCCTATCTCCAAAGGGCTGGGATTACATGTCTGGTTTATATGATGCTAGAGATGGAACCCAAGGCTTTGTGCATGCTAGTAAGCACTCCACTAACTAAGCTACATTCCTAGTGATTCCCCAAATTTGTTTATTTATGTATTTAGACAGGGTCTGCTTGTATCTTCAGCTGGCCTGAAACTCACTATGTAGACCAAGTTGGCCTCAATCTCAGAGATCTGCCTGCCACTGCCTCCCCAGTGCTGGGATTTAAGGTGTGCAACACCACAGCCTGCTTTATTTGTTTTTTCAATATCAAGAATGCCATTGTTTATGAATAAAAGAGAAAGCGTGAAGTCATGACTCTAAAAAAAACGTAGGGGCAAAGGAGGCATGCTGGCCTGGAGGGCGGCAGCCATTACCATTGTCTGTGGCAATGATGAGGGCTGTGTATGTGCTGTTCTTCACATGCTCAAAGTCTTCTCTGTCCATCTCAGCCCGAGTAAAAATGGCACCGGTATCTGGATTAATCTCCAGCCAGTTGGCAGTGTCTCTCCAAATCCGATACCTGACGAGGGACAAGGTCTGGCTTAGAATGGGACCAGCAAACAGAATGGAACCGAAGGAGGCTGCAAGTCCTCTTCATTAACAGCTACTTTTTAAAATGAGCAGTCCTGAAAGCCACAGAATAGCACAGTGACCATGCATCTACCCTCCACCAAGAGTAATGACCACCACTCTCCCTTTCATTGTGGTACTGTGGATGGACACCAGGGCTTGGCGCCCACCACTAAGCTACATCCCCAGCTACTCATTACTCAGTTATTTTTTTTAATCCAGGAAATAAAACTGTGGTAGCCCAGTATTGCTGAAAATCCAGAACATTTAAATTATCAGATTCCTCCAAATGCACATTACAACAATCTTACAGCCTCATCCCAATTTAGCATTCAATCCACTGTGGGCAGTGACAGCCCAGCTTACATGAAAATAGCATCAGGGTCCAGAGTATTCTCCAGGGATCCAGTGGATCATCTTTGGCATTTGACTCACATCTTTCTAGTCTGATCCACCTGCTTCTGCCTCCCAAGTGCTGGGATTAAAGTCGTGTGCCACCATGCCTGGCCTGATTTTTTTTTTTTTTTTGAGACAGGGCCTCCTATAGTCCAGGCTGGCCTTATATAGCCAAGGATGACCTTGAACTTCTGATTCTCCTGCCCCAGCCTCCTGAGTAGCTGGGATTACAAACCTATATACCTAGGTCTAGCTTTTAATTTTATTTTAAAAAATTTATTTTAAATTTATATTATTTTATGTGTTTATGTATTTAGCTTGCATGTATATAAAGTACAATACTTGGAGGGCACTGGATCCCCTGGAACTGAAGTTACAGACAGATGTTAGCCATCATATGGGTGCTGGGAATCTAACCAGGGTCCTATGCAAGAGCAGCCAGTGCTCTTAACTGCTGAGGCATCTCTCTAACCCCTGATTTATTTATTTTTATTTTGTGTATATGAGTGTGTGCCCTACATGGATGCAGTGCCCTTGGAGGCAAGAAGAGGGTGCTGGATCCCCTGAAACTGGAGTTAAAAACAGTTGTTAACCAAATCCAGGTTCTCTGGAAAAGCAGGAAGTACTCTTAACCACTAGCCATCTCTCTAGTCTGTTATTTTTACACTTATGAGACTGGGTTTCATTATATAGCCCAGGCTAGCCTTTAACTGCTGCCTAATCTCCTGAGTGCTGGCATTATAGATGTATACCACCAAACCTAGCTTGATATTTATTTATTTATTTATTATTTGTCTTTTTGAGACTGGGTCTCCCTGTTGCTCCAGCTGGCCTTGACTCACAGAGATCCGCCTGCCTCTACCCCCAGTTCTGGGATTAAAAAGGTGTGTGCCACCACACCCAGTTTATGTATCATTTTTAACGTATGTGAGTGCACCTATGTTGTGCAATGCAATGGAGGTCAGAAGAGGGCTTTGGATTCCCCTGGAACTGGAGTTAAGGACAGATTCCCCTGGAACTGGAGTTAAGGACGGTTTGTAGCCACCATGTGGGTGCTGGGAATCGAGCCCAGGTCCTCTGTAAGAGCAGTCAATGCTCTTAACTGATGAGCCATCTCTCCAGCCCCGATCCATATTTATTTTTAAAAAGGCTAGCGTTCCTAAAAATAAAAAATTCTTAAAGGTCACAATATGCTCTCTACACCTGTATGCCTGAAGACTCAGGCTGACACTGATGGTTGGGTTGCACTATGCACACCTATTCATAGGTGCCAGGGAAGTTAATTCTTCTGGACTAATACGATTAATTAAAAACAAAACAAATGATAACAACATTGAAACCCCACTTTATTCAAAAGGCGAAGAGGATCCTGTTAAATATCTTATTAGGAATACCAGAAATAGTAATCAGAGGAAACAAAGGCCTAAAAAGCAGAGCTCTGCTGCTCAGTCAAGATCTGTGGGAAGGGAGCTAAGAGCTGTATGTGGTGATGCTCGGCTGAAATTCTAACAGTTGGGAGGCAGAGGCAAGAGGATTGGGACTTGAGGCCAGGCTGAGTTGAATGAGACCCTGCCTTAAAAAAAGGGGAGGGCGGGTAGTGGGAAGCTAAGAAACCAGAGGAAGAAAGAACTGTGGAAATCTATGTGCTTGCTTGCCCTTGCTTCTCTATAAGTGCAAAGCAATGAATTACAAGAAGTGGTCTTTAGGCCATGGTAACGAATACTGCTAAGGCCTATCAGGCATGTCCAGCATTGACTGTGACATAGCTCAAGCTCAGGAGTGATACAATAGGGCCAGCAAGATAGATGGCTCAGTGGGTAAAGGCGCTTGCCGTCAGGCCTGACAACCTGAATTCAAGCCCTGGGACCCAAGTGATGGAGAAAACCAACGCCAGAAAGTTATCCTCTGGTCTCCATATGTGAAACATGGCAAGCAAGCACCCACATACATGTATACACACATACACACAAAATAAATAAATGTTAATTAAAAAAAAAAAAAAAAGCCAAAACCATACTCTTGTCACCCGCCCCCAAAAAAGTAATAAATAAAATCAATTAAGTTTATGATTTTGTGTTGGGCTACATTCATAGCTATCCTGGAGTACATGTGGCCTGAAGGCCTCAGGTTGGACACGCCTGTTGGCATGCTAACGTATCAACCCAGTCTAGACACTATCCAGTCCAAGGCTTCAGTACCAAACAAAATCCTACATTTTTGTTTTTGTCTTTTCTCTATTCTTTCACATTTGATTAAAAAATAAGGGCCAGCAAGATGGCTCAGTAAAGAAGGCACTTGCCTCTAAGTCTAACGACCTGAATTAGATTCCTGGGATCACGTGGTAGAAGGAGAAAACTGACTCCCATAAGTCAACCACGGACTGTACCATGATGGCAATAATTACAGTGACACTGCAGACATCTTAGCTTATATAACAAACTCTAGACTGTTCTCATGCTCAAACTGGTCAAGGACAGATTTCTCAGAATGTATTTTTATCATTATATGACAAGTGACTGTATTTATATACATATTCGCATAAATTAAAATGACATTAAAAGGAACAGAAAAATTGTAAATACATTCCAGTACCCCCTTGGTACCAGTCAGTTGAAAAACCCTTCCACTTACGTGATCTTCTGATCCATGAAGGTGTCTGGCTCCCGGGCTGTGTAGGACGTGATCTCCAGGCCCACGGAAAAGTCCTCAGGTACTTCTACTCTCTTTTCAGCAGGAACAAAGATGGGTGCCTCATTCACGTCCATCACGTCCACAGTGACAGTGGCTGTGGATGTGACAAGAGCCCCCTCAAAGGGGGCCACGTTCCCCACTGTCACGTGTAGAATATACTGTTGCTTGGCCTCAAAATCCAAGCCCTAGAAAACAGGAAAAAAATGAGCTTAAACTAAAATATCACAGGCTTGGGGTGTGGCTAAGGGGTAGAGCACTTGCTCAAGGACCTGAGTTCAACCACCGTTACCCCACAACAGAATAAAGTGAAAAAAAAAACAAGAAACAGTGTTAGCAAAAAATAAAGTGAAACTTGAAAAAGTTTTCATCTTTATCGCTTTTGGTGGACAATATACCAGGGGTTCCCAAACATGGCTGCCTGCCTGTTGAAGAGGCTGTTAAAGCTCGAAGGCTACTCCAGGTAGCTGTTAACTTTGACTAAATTCAACAAGCAATTCATTCCCACTTTTAGTTTTCAAGTTTTTAGGGCATTTTTCAAAGATTTATTTATTTTTGTTTTATGTATATGTGTCCTGTCTAGGTGTATATACGTGTGCCACATATGTGTAGGTGCCTACAGAGGTTGGAAGAGGGTGTTGGATCCCCTAGAACTAGAGTTACAGGTGGCTGTGAGCCACCCAGTGTGGGTGCTGGGAACCGAACTCAGGTTCTCTGCAAGAGCAGCAATGATGACTCTTAACCACTGAGTCATATCTTTCCAGAACCAAGTTTTTAGGCCATTTTTCAAAAGAGCTGTACCTGCTTCACTTTTAATAGTCTAGACAAACAGCTCAGAGCAGGAAACCATGGTCCTTCTCATTTGCAAGATAAGAAAGGGGGAAGGAAGCAGGGTCCCTGGGAAACAGCCAATTAAACCCAACAGCTATAGTAGAGTCACTGCAAGCCGGGGACAGTCAGTCTACTGTGATCTGAGAAGGCTCCCCGACCCCTCCCCAGCCAGTGCTGATTCACTTATGAGAAGTCACCATGGATAAGGGAGGACCAGCTGCTGGGACATCAATTTCTACATCTTCCCAAGCACAATACAAACCTTGGTTGTTTTCAGAATGCCATCATTGGTTGCAGGGTCTGTGGTGACAATAAATTGTTGTTCAGGATCATTTATGATGGTGTACACGGCCTCCCATGCTGGAGTGTGGGGAGTGTCATCATCAGTCACTTTGAGTGTAGTGATGTAGGCATTAGCCTCATTCTCAGGCACCTGACCCTGGTACTGTAGAGCAAAGGAAAAAGGTGGGTCATGGTGACAGTAAGGGGAAGCCAGGACTCCAGGAATGGACATGCTGCGGAGCCCAAGCCCAAGGGAGGGTTGAGGTGAGGTCAAGTAACTGACCCTCATTTTCTGTCAGCACACCCGAGCATGCTCCTCTGTGAGCCACTGAAGGAACCTTCTAGAAGGCCTTAGCTACCAGAACCACTCAGCACCTGCTGGCCCAGGTGCCTACTGACTGATCTCAGTCACACTCACAGTCACCATTTTCCCTGAGTCCCCAAGAGCTGCCCCCCACCTCAATTTTTGAGACAAGGCCTCACTTTGTAGCCCCAGCTGGCCTTGAACTCAGAGATTCTGCCTCCCGAGTGCTGGGATTAAAGGTGTTTGGCATCACATCCAGCCCCATTATAGTATTCTTAAAGCCCCTTAGAAATGATGAAAAAGCAATTATCCCCAGACCTTTGTGACGTAAGAAAAAAGAAGTCAGCCCTGCTATTTAAGGCCTCTGTTACTAACAAATCAAATTAAAAAAAAAAAAAAAAAATCCAAGTATGGTAGTGCATGCCTGCCTGACAACCTGGGTATTAGAAACCATGTCTCAAAATTTTTTAATTTTATATATAGATATGAAGTTCCTCTATTTGAATCTACTCCTTGAATGCATTTGATATTCTTGGCATCCAGTAATTCCTATGAGGCCAGGAATGGTAGTTCACACCTGCAATTCCAGAATTTGAGCTAGCCTGGGTTACATAGTGAAACCCTGCTCAAGCCACCCATCACCCCCAAATTATAATTCCTATAATTGCCAATTATCTCTCTGACTAGACCACCAATTCAAGACTAGAATCCTTGTCTGCTTTGGTTGTGATTACATCTCCAGTGCGTAACACAATGCTTAGAATAAACTTAGAAAATATTTGTTTGATGAATAAACTAGATCCATTTAGGATCTGATATAAAGATGCAGAATATAAGGTCGTGGATTCATCAGGTTCTTTTTGCAACTTCACAATCCTATGGGCCCCAGGCTACGGTTGAAACAAAAATATTCAAAGATAGAAGAGCTACACCAATATGCTGGCTTCGAAGTTTTAAGTTTACAGTCACTAACCTGGAGAAGAGTTCTCAAAGGGTTCACCCATGAGCAGAGTTTTACGTAAAACTTAGTTGGCACACTACAAAGAACCTTTCACAGGAAACTGTCTAAAGACCTGCAGAATTACCATGGTTGGGTTGAAGATGGGAGCGTTGTCGTTGATGTCAGTAACTGTGATTACAGCTTTTGCTGTAGTGCTTAAGCCTTCGCCTTGAAGGTCAGCAGCTTGAACCACCAGGGTATACGTGGGATAACTCTGCAAACATCAAACATGCACATCAGAACCAGCTCCAGCAGCCACCTTGGTCCAGCCCAGCCCACGGCATGTAGAGAACTGGAATATTTGCTCATCTGCTTAACTGCCCAGGCTGCCTGCCCCCAGGCACAGAGCTTCTGGGCAGGTGCTGAGATGCATACTGAGACACTCACACTCACTGACCATTAGGATCAGCAGAGGGTTGCACTGCCCAAGGAATTTAATAAACATTTGCCTTCAATTCCCACTGGATCCTCCTGAGCCCTGCCTGACCTCTCGGTCCAGTCCGGAGGTGACCACACTGATGACCCCTGTGTCCCTATTGACAGTGAACATATTTTTGTGAGGCAGCTCAGGATCTTGGCTGAGGATGGTGTAGGCGATGGCAGCATTGTAGGTGTTTACGTCGTCATCTGCATCAGTGGCTGAGACCTGCATCACAGAGGTTCCTGGAAAAGTCAAATGAGAGAGATTTAAGTGGACTACAATTGCCACTTGGGGATTTGCTCCTTACTGCTCAGCCCAATCCCATCCTAGATGATAAAGGAAGGGCCTATTTCTAAAATTCACATGAAATTGCAAGAGAAGAAAGCATTACATCAAACCAGCTATGTTCAGAGAACTCAACTTTCAAAGCCTACATTTTAGATGTAGTGAGGGGAGGAGAAGGTGTCGGGAATAAATTAAAGCATTCCACCAAGTCTCTCTTCTCTTCCTCCTCCATTTTCTTTATTTTTAAAAAGATTTTGTTGAGGTTGAGAGATGGCTCATCAGTTAAAAGCAGTGACTGCTCTTACAGAGGACCTGGGTTTAGTTCTCAACACCCACATGGTGGCTACTATCTATAACTCCAGTTCCAGGGGATCCAACGCTCTCTTATGATCTCTGCAGACATTGCATGACATGGGTGCACTTACATGCAGGCAAAACACTCAGAACACTCACATAAAATAAAAATAAAACAAATTTTAAAAGATTTTATTATTTATGTGTATCTGTGTATCTGTGTAGGTGAACATGCATGTAGGTATCCTCAGAGGTCAGAAGAGGGCAGTAGATCCTCTGGAACTGGAATTAGATGCATCAACCACCAGGCCCAGTTTAGCAAAGTTGTTCTTATGTTGTTCTTATTTTGTATATTCCTATAGGTAGAATATTAGACTACACAAGACAGACAGACACACATTCAAAGAACCTCTCTCAATATGAAGTTAGTTTCAGTGACCTGACCCCAAGTTCCAGCCCCACACTTTGAGGTGTCTTTCTGGGTATTTCAGGTCCTTGTGGCTAACATACCTGGAAGAGCACCTTCCATGACAGACCCTTCAAAGACCTTCTTGATGAACTCGGGCTTGTTGTCATTCTGATCTGTCACCGCGATCACAATCTCCATGGGCTCCTCCACAGCGTTCCCATTAGATGACACAGCATGAGAATACAGCTGCCAAGAGCCAAGTGAGGGTTACTTGGACCCTGCCCAGAAAGAAGTGGTAGGAGGAGGGGCTCCATCTGACCTCCACTCCTTCTACTTCTAGACCTCTGTGGGAGGACATCCTACATGATGTGCTGTTACTTAATGAAGTCATGGATAAGGCCTCATCTCATGGGCTGGAGAAAACTCTCACTAGGTCAGACCACCCACTTATCACATGAAAACTACAGTGTCAGAACTAGAGATGAAGCCGAAGCCTACGAAATTCTGATTCACTTCACTCGGGGTAAATTTTCTCTGGCATCTCCAATCTAGTAATTCTCCCAGATTTTTTTGCATTTGTCATCCACAGGTTGACTCTCTCTTCCCTAAGCTCATGTAACCATGTCCCAGAAATGGCTTTTGCTACCTGTTATATCTACTTCCTTCCAGCCCCAAGAACAAGGTGACATCTTCTAGCTAATCTTGACGCATAGTGTGTGAGGAATCCCCTTACTTTTCTCCCAACAAGGGAGGGGGGTGGGAACTAACTCTCTCAACTGCCCTGCATCTCCTGTCATCTCACTTTTATCAACACGCCAAGAGATAAGTTAAGCTCTTCCCTCGAGATCCAATATGGGTTGCTCAAATACTTTTGGACAGATGTTAGTTACCCCATGGTCAAGTTTCTCAGAGATACTCACGATATACTTAGGAATAGCTTCTCTATCCAGAGGTTCCGTCACCCTCAGCCACCCTGTTTCTCTTTCAATAGTAAAGACACCAACAGGGGGTTTGTCAGCTCCTTGGCCAGTGATGCTGTAGTAAACCTGGGTTTCTTTGTCCCTGTTGGATTTGATCTGAAGATAGAACAGAAACAATTGTCAAGGGAAGACCTTGACAGTGGGTCATTTTTAGTTTCTCTCCTCTTGGTTCTTCTCTATCAAATCCTTCCCAGGGGAGGGCCAGAGTGGTGGTGGTGGCAGAGGACAATTTCCTTCTCTACCTGAACCAGGTCTTTAGGAAATGGGCCCTTTTCATTTTCTGGGCAGCTGATGGGAGGGATGACCCAGTCTCTCTTCTGTCTTCTGGAACTCTGGTGGGAGCTGGGAAACATGAGCACTTCTGGCTGGGATCCAGAGACAGAGTCCTAAAAGCAAAGAAGATGAGCAAAATGAGACACAGTACAGGTCTAACAGTTCAATCCACCCCATCATGCCTCCATCTCCTGAGGGTAGTGTATGTTTGAATTTAATGATATATTTTCTTCTCAACAACACATCATATATCCTTCCACAAAACACCCTGTTGCCACTGGTGTTTGGACAGTGAATGCCCCCCCACCCCCCACCCCAAGGGTCACATGTTTAAGTGTGGTCTCCAGGTGGTGCTTACTGAGAGATCATCAGATCACAGGAAGTGTATTTTGGGATTTCGGTCTCATCTTTGTTTCTTGTATCACAAGGCAAGTTGGTTTACTCGGCTACATGCCCTCACCACAATGTGCTGTCCTTATCAGACGACCAAATAATGGGATCATTTGCTCTTGAACCTCCAGAACCGTAAGATAAGATAAACCTTCTCTTTAAGTTACCATCTCAAGAATTTTGCTGTAGTGTCCGAATGCTGACAGATACAGCCACATAATACTATAGTCATTGATTCTTCTCAGTATCCAGAATTCAAATAACTATATATACACAAGTGTAGGTTTGAAAATTTAATAATTGAATTTACAAGTTATTTAAAACTTACATAATGTCATTTAAGCAATATTACACTCTGATAATATCAGATGATTCAATAACTAGATATTTAGGTGTTTCCAATGTCTATGTTTTTCCTAGGGATATAGTTCCCCAGAGGGGAGTTATCAACTCTAAGTTTTGGGAACTGCTACTAAGAACTACCGTGCAATCGATATAAATCTCTTAATCTTACTGTGTCATAGCTAAGGTTTCCATTTGTTCTAACAGAAGCTGCTGGAATGAGAACCAAAAATAACCTTGCAACTGATACTGAACAGTTTTCATGTGCAGTAAAGACAACTTCACACACTCAGGGAAATAAGAGTTGAAGATGGAAGGAAAATACCTTCCAAATTGTTTGTTCTAGAATGATCCACAGTAACAACATTTCTGGAAGAAGATACTCATTACTGATCATCCTCAGTCAAGTTAGAATCGAGCTTGTTTCCTGTTTCCTTGTTTTTGTAGTTGTTTAGTTTGGTTTTGGCATTTTTGAAACAGGGCCTCATGAAGCCCAGGCTGGCTTCAAACTGTATAGCTAGGGATGATCTTGAACTTCTGATCCTCCTGCCTTCACCTACCAAGGGATGACAGGATGTGCTACCATAATCTGCTTATGCAGAGTTGGAGATAAAACCCAAGGCCTTTTGCTTTCCTACTGAGCTACACACACCCCCAGCCTTCCTCACATTTTGGATTAAAAACATTAAAGACAAACCAGGTATAGTCATGTATACGTGCAATCTCAGTACTTGGGAAGCTAAGGCAAGGAAAGGCCATAAGTTGAAGGCCAACTTAGGCTGCATAGCAAGTCCCTGTCTCCAAAAGTTTGGGGACGGGGGTGAAGGGAACACCATTTGCTAAGTTCGGCAAAGCAAACAGGAGAGGAGAAACCTGGAATGTTCCTAACTATAAAGCCTCCATTCTGACCACAACTTATCTTTGGACTTCTTTGTCTTAAAGGAACATTTTGCATAAACCACTGTAATTTTGGGTTTTCTATAATACATACTTGAATCAAATCCTGTCTCTAGACAGAAGTAAAGTCAGCAGAGGTGAGAAGGGAAGGCTAGAGGAAAACCAAGTTCAAAACAGCCTCTTGGTCTTAGGAGGCTCCAGTCAGCTACCTGACCAGAATTCACAGAGCTGAACTAGCATGCGTGCCAACTGGGGGCCTGAGTCAGGAAGTCGGGCTAACACAGCTGAACTAAGTTCCTCACTCTTCTAATTGCATCAGGGAGGAAAATTAGATCCTTCAAGAAGATTATTAAATCTTATGAGTCTTCAGAGAAGACTCATAGGCTTTTGCACATACAGCACAGCTGACACTTGAAGCAATAAGCTGGGAACGCTAAGAAGGTCTAGAGCGCCTACAGACATTTTGATAGGAAGTGCCATGAGAGCGCTCTCAAAACTGGCAGAGGCATTTGGCTTTTGGTAATAACCTGCAGAGACATTCTTGTCAAGAACCTAGGCAGACACATGTCCATCCACTCATGGTCAGTCCATCTACCCACCTGTTCAATATTTACTGGTTTTCTGGAATGTGCCAGACCTAATGGCTAGGCACTGCAAACACAGCAGAAAGGATCTTATGCAAGCGGCATAAGGAGCCTGAAAAGGCTTTCTATTGGCTCCTCCCTCCCTTTGCTAAGATGCTCAGTACCTCACCTCTAATTCTTTCTGCTTTGGGAAGAAAATGGCAGCAGCTAATATTTAATGAGCACCTGTCACATTTGGCCCTTCATAGCTGCAGGGCTCAAATCAGTGGGCAATCAGTTACAGACGGAAATTATTTTTCAAAGCCAGGTTTAGTGATGCATGCCTCTAATCTCACACTTGGGAGGTAGAAGCAGGAGGATCAGGAGTTCAAGGTCATCCTGGACTACATATTGAGCTTGGGGCAACCTGGGCTACATGAAACCCTGTGTTTGTACCTGATACCCTCTTTGGTCTCCACATACACAAATAAATAAGAAAAATAAAAAAAATAAATCTTTAAAAAAATGTTAGTGGCTGGAAAGATGGCTGGGCTTGAGAGTACTTATTGTTCTTCTAGAGGACCCGAGTTCAGTTCCCAGCATCCACATGGTGGCTAACACCAATCCTTAATTCCAGTTCCAATGGATCTAATGCCCTCTTCGGACCTCCATGGGCACCAGGCACACATGTGGTGTGCTTACATACATGCAGGTAAAATACTAGTACACATAAAAAATTTTAAAACATTAAAAAGTTTTAATTAATTTATTTTTATTTTATGTGTGTGAGTGTTTTGCTTGTGTGTAAGTCTACCACATGTGTACAATGCTCACGGAGGCCAGAGGAGGGCACTAGATCCTCTGGAAATGGAGTTAGGGATGATTATGAGTCACTGTGTTGGTGCTAGGAACTGAACCAGGTTCTCTGCAAGAGCAGTAAGGGCTCTTAAGCTGAGCCATCTCTCCAGTCCAAGTTTTTAAAAATCTTCTTTTAAAATTTTTAAAGGTTATCTAAGCCTGGCTGGGGATGTAGATCAATTGGTAAAGTGCTTGCCTAGCATGCATTAGGCTGTAGGTTTAATCCCCAGAACCAAATAAAACCTGGGGTGATGGCACAAGATGGAACCTAGAGGGTTAGAAAGTTCAAGGTTCTGCTACATGGTAAGTCAGAAGCTATCATGGGCTACATGAGACCCTATCCAGAAAAAAAGAGAAACCTAAAGCCAGGCATGCTAGTATACATCTGTAATCCCAGCTTTCAGGAGGCTGAGGCAGGAGGATTGAGTTTGAAGTCAGCCTAGACTCTTTTTATAGCAAGATCTTGCCTTAAAAAAGAAAAAATAGGCCAGGCATGGTGGTGCACACCTTTAATCCCAGTACTTGGGAGACAGAGGCAGGCAGATCTCTGTGAGCTCCCGGCCAGCTGCAGACACAGGGAGATCCTGTCTCAAAAAACTGGATAAAAAAAGGGCAGATTTTTAAAGATGATATTTATTTTTATTTTTATTTTATGTATATGAATGTTTTGCCTGTAAGTCCACCGTGCATATGTCTGGTTCCCAAAGAGGCCAGAAGAAGGTGAAGTTAAGGACAAGTATTAGCCTCTATGTGGGTGCTAGGAACTGAACCTGAGTCCTCTGGAAGAACAGTCAGTGATCTTAACAGCTGAGCCATCTCTCCAGCCCTCACATGCAGACTTTTCCCCTTATCATCTTGAAATAACACATAACAACTGACACAGCATCTGCATTATATTAGATATTGTCATTAATCTAGAGGTGTGCTAACAAGAGGATGTGTGCTGGACATACACAAATAACTGTACTATTTCATATAAGCCTTAGGTACCCACAAAGGAGGTGGAGGATCCTAAAACCACAGCCTTGTGGATGTCAATGGCATATGCAGGGTCTTAGTGTTTCATCAGTGTTAGTTCACTCAATCTTCACTATTATCTCAGGCCTTACAGACAAGGAGACTCAAGCCTAGGCAGGTTCAGTGACCCCTCTGGGGTTTCCAGGGTTGAAGGGAGAGAGCAATGGCAGGCTGATTGGATCCCAGATCCCCACATTCCAACAGCAACATCCCCAGACCCAATAGGACTGCGTTCAGTGAGACCTACTGTCCTCAACTGGAGATGATTTTGCAGTCCCTGCCCAAGAGTTCTTAGCAGTTTATGGAGGGAGTTTTGCTGTTGTAAAAGACAGAGGTGCTCCTGCCATCTAGAGTTGCCAAGTATGCAGCTGAGTCCTCTTGCAAAATTATCTAGCCCCAAATGTCCAGAGTGCCAAGGTCAGGAGACCACGATTAGACAGTAGCCAGAAAATACAGCAAACTTCAAAAAAATATCCCAACTTACATGGTGGTGGTGACGGTGGTGGTGATGCCCCACAGACTTCAGTGTGACTTTGGTAGAAAGCTTCTTGTAGCTAGAGTCCCAAGCGTGGACAAGAAAACTGGTCTCTAGTTTATGAAGGTTTAGAGGTCGCTTGACTGTGACCACACCATCTGTGGCCACTTTGAATCGGGAGTCATCAGAAAAGTAGACTGTCCTTGGCCGACCAGTGCATCCTTCAAAACTAACTGCAGGGCAGAAATTACAGTGATTAGGAAACTGGGCAGATTTCAGGCAGGAGCATTCTTATCCAAAAATCAATCATGCAAAATGAGGACCAGCTCAAGGAACCCTACACTAGCAATGACTAACAAAGCTATCCAGAAACCTTTCATAAAGTTCTTCACAAATACAGGCACCTAATCGTTGTGGTCTGACTTTTTTCCTTATCTAATTATCCAGTAAAGGGGGCTAGAGAAATGGCTCAGTGGTTTAGAGCACTGGTTGCTCTTGCAGAGGACCTGGGTTCAATTCTCTTCACCTACATTGTAACTAACAATTGTCCATAACTCCAGTTCCAGGGGAATTTGACATCCTCCCTGACTTCTACAGGCATTGCACAATGCGGGCAGGGCGCACTTACATACATGCATGTAATACACTCATACACATAAAAAAAAAGTAAGCAGGGCGTGGTGGCACACGCGTTTACTCCCAGAGGCAGAGGCAGGCGGATCTCTGTGAGTTCAAGGCCAGCCTGGTCTACATAGTGAGTTCCAGGACAGCTGGAGCTCAAAAAGACCAAAAAAAAAAAAAAGTAAACAAATATATGGATAAAAATATGTGCCAGGAGTGGTGGCGCACGCGTTTAATCCCAGCACTTGGGAGGCAGATCCAGGCAGATCTCTATGAGACTGAGGCCAGCCAGGTCTACATAGTAAGTTCCAGGCCAGCTGAGGCTACAAGGAGACCCTGTCTCAAAAGACAAAAAAAAAAAAAAAAAAAAAAGTAAGAAAAAGGGGGCTGGAGAGATGGCTCAGTGGTTAAGAGCACTGGCTGCTCTTGCAGAGGACCTGGGTTCGATTCCCAGCACCCACATGGCGGCTACGAACCGTCCTTAACTCCAGTTCCAGGGGAATCAGAAGCCCTCTTCTGACCTCCGCAGCACTGCATGACACGGGTGCACTCACATACATGCAGGCAATACACTCATACACATAAAATAAAAAATAAATAAAATATTTTTAAAATATGTAAGAAAAAAAACCCGAAACTCAAAACCCCCACAAAAAACAAACAGGGCATTGTGGTGCACACCTATAATCCTAGCACTTAGGGAAGCAGAGGCTGGCAGATCAGAAGTTCAAGGTCATCCTCAGCTACACAGCAAGTTTGAAGCCAGCTTGGGGTGCATGAGACTATCTCAAGAAAACAAAAAAGGCTGGCGAGATGGCTCAGTGATTTAAGAACACACACTCTGGTCTTCCAGAGAACCTGAGTTCAGTTCCCAGCATGCACATTCTGTGGCTTACAACTGCCTGTAATTCTAGTTCCAGGGATCTGACACCGTCTTTGGGCTTCCACACATAGCACTCATGCCCACATACCCACACACATATACATATGATTAAAAATAAAATCTTTGGGGCTGGAGAGATGATTCAGTGATTAAAAGTGCATACTGCTCTTGCAGAGAACCTGAGTTCAATTCCCAGCACCTACTGCCTGTTAACTCCAGCTCCAAGAGGGATCTGATACTTCTGTCCTTCCTGAGTACTGCACTCAAATGGACATACCCACACATATACACAATTAAAATAAAATCTTAAAAAAAAAAAAAAAAAAGGTCTAATGAAATGGCTCAGTGGGTAAAGGCACTTGTCACCACATGAGGACCCGAGTTCAAACACACAAGGTAGGAGAGAACCGACTCCTAAAAATTGTTCTCTGACCTCCACAAGTGGGTAGGGGTGCACACAAATGCACACATATCCCCACATATAAATAAACAAATGCTAAAAAAAATTTTAAACCAAAATCCAAAACAAACAAACAAAAAAAACATGTAGAAATGTAGTAAAAAACCTCACAGGCACAGGGAACAGTTGTAAAGAGTTCATTGTAGGAAACTCTAAGTTAGCCTGTTTTCCTCCCTTTCAGATAACTATCCATCACTCCCCCCAATGAAACTTCCATTTTGTCTAAGCATTCTCTTGTGAAAATTGCTGCTGGTATGCCTATTTTACAAGGCTGGGCACTTCTTTCCGAAGGATCAGGTTTCTGCCAGAAAGCCCAAGCCTCTGTGGATGCCTGGGCTGCAGTGTTTCTTTCTTCCACCAGGGGTCGCCCCTGCAAGCATGTCTGAAGCTCAAAGTCCTGAATTCCATTTGCCGGAGAAGATAATTTGTTTTAGGGGATAAGAAGATGAGAATATGCACCACCATTATTCCTACTCACAGAGTGGTTAAGACATTTACCTAACATCCCACAACTAGCAAACAGCAGAGCTACTAGTGGCTGTTGAAGGGAATTAGGATATGTTATCCCAAAATACTCTTTGACATATGTATTTTGGAGCCAAAGACATGTGAGAAGCAACGTGCAGAAAGATCTGTCTCAACTTGAACGTCCCTTTCTTTTTTGGTCTTTTTGAGACAGGATCTCCCTGTTGCCCCAGCTGGCCTAGAACTCATGTAGACCAGGCTGGCCTTGAACTCAGAGATCTGCTTGCCTCTGCCTACCACGCCAAGCTAGATCCAGTGATCTTAACTGCTGAGCCATCTCTCCAGTCCACAGATACCACTTTCAAAGTCCTAATTAGGACCTTTTAAAGATTTTTAAGTAACCCTCCCTACCCCCAGCATAAATAATGGAGTGACTGGGCCATATGTGGTGGCTTGTCATATAAGCAGGGTATAAGCACTGCCCCAGATTCCTTTCCCCAGCTAGACAAATCTGGGCAGTGAAAGTCAACAGGACCATGACTGGACTTGCCATAGGTGGTTGGCCTGAAAAATGAAATGGTTTTGTAAATAACTTGGTGCAAAGCACTTGACCTGCTCAGGGTAACTCTTAATGTGGCCCAGCCTCACCCTGGGAGAAGTGACACAGAAAGTGCCAGAGGGAGCCCCAACCTGAATTTCTAGGTACTCATTAGCACTCATTCTCTGTTTTGTAAAACCGGATCCTCTGGACTGAGAAATTGAAAATTACAGGAAAGACAAAAGGCTGTCCAGCTCTGGAGGCTCCTTCAACCCTGGCCAGGGCTGGCCATGTTCAGTTATGTGGAACTCTGACATCATCAATTGGGAGGCAGTATGAGGAAAATGTGGTGAAATGTTGAAATACCAAGATCAACACACGGGGTTGGGGGGTATGGGAACATTTCCATGATGAAAGTGACAGAAAGCTCATGAGGGACTAAAAATTCAACCAAGCACAAAACACCTTTTCTATACTGGTTATCTGTATTGGTCCCAATACAGAATTAAGACCCCTGGGCATCTCTGAAGGGAAAACCTTTCTACCACATCATCATCACCACCATCCCCATCATCATCAGGAAAAACTACATCCTCATACTGGGCATGGAGGTACACACCTGCAATCCCAGAGAAGCTGAAGGTAGGAAGTTCATGAATCTGAGGCCACCCTAGGCTGTACAACAAAACAAAATCTATGATCTGAGGTAATGTAACAGCTTCAACGAACTTAACTATTTGATCAATATTTTAAATATTTGCAGAATACTGACTATAGTTCCAGATTCTATTTTAAACACTTTATAAATATTAACTCTTTTAATCCCAGAACTTTGGGGTCTGTCCTCTTGGGTTTTTGTTTTTTGAGACAGTGTCACTCACTATGTAGCCCACCCAGGCTGGCCTCAACTTACTGAGATCCCCTGCCTCGCCTCTGGAGTACTGGGATTAAAGGTGTGTGCTGCCACACCTAGAAAGAAATTTTTTAATATTTTATTTATTATTTATTTTATGTGTATGAGTGTACTGCCTGCATATAGGTAGGTACACCCATGTTATGCAATGCCTGCGGAGGTCAGAAGAGGGTGCTGGATCCCCTGGAACTGGAGTTATGGATGGTTAACAGCCATGTGGGTGTTGGGAATTAAACCTGGGTCCTCTGCAAGAGCAGACAGTGCTCTTAATTGCTGAGCCAACTTTCTAGCCCCAAATTCTTTTTATAGCTAGGGATATTAGGCAGTTAGCAAGCAGCAAGGCTGGGATGTGAACCTAGGCAGTCAGATTTCATGCCCTATCTACATAGCAGGTCCTTGCCCTGTGTCCTTTGTGTGTGTGGTTTATTTTTTTTTCAGGGGGGGGGGTCATCTGGAATCCCAGCTGGCCTGGTACTTGCCACGTAGACCAGGCTGGCCTCAATCTCAGAGTTCTGCCTACCTTTGCTGAGATTAAAACTTACTTCCTTTCCCCCACCCCAGGCTTGCTGAGGTTCTACTTTTTTTTCCCTAAATTATACACTGTTGAGTTCAGGGCTAGGGTGGCTCACCCCAAAGGGAGGGTCCTCACTGTTACTCATACGCAAAATGGAGAGGGGATCTCTGGCAAAAATAAGTATTTATTTTTTAAAATATTTTATTTATAAGGCCGGGCGTGGTGGAACAAGCTTGTTCCCTCAGCACTTGCGAGGCAGAGGCTGGCGGATCTGAGTTCAAGGCCAGCCCGGTCTACATGATGAGTTCCAGGCCAGCTGGGGCTATAGGGAGACCATGTTTCAAAAAGCCCCTCCCCCCAATTTATTATCCAGCCCCAGAAGTATTTATTAAGAAAATACAAATGACCAACCAACAAGAAAAAGATAGTCCATAACAGTCTGGAGTGCTACACATGGGAAGTTAACGGTAACTGGAGAGGGAGTGGAAGAAAGATTGAAAGATATGGGGTTGAAGTAGAAGAAATTTAAAAAAAAAAAGATTTTTCTGCTGGAGATATAGCATATACACAGGCCTTGGCTTCAATTGCCAGCATTGAAAAAAAAAAAAAAAAAAAAAAAAGAGGAAAAAAATGTTGGTCTAAATTCCAGCAAATAGAAGACCAGGCATGGTGGTAGAAAGATGGTTATAATTAGAATGAGTAATTTATTTTTTAAAATATTTTATTTATTTTTTCTATGTGTATATGGGTGTTATACCTGCATGTATGCAAGTACACCCATGTTGTGCAGTGCCCTCGGAGATCAGAAGAGGGTGTTGGAGCCCCTGGAAGTGGAGTTA